CTCACTTGCTCATAGTGTATAATCCTCCTTATGTGTTTCTAGTTCAGTTTATTATATTTGATTGAGGATTTTTGTGTCTGTATGCATACAGGGCATGGGTCTGTAGTTTACTTGTGATGTTTTTGTCTGTTTTTTTAAAAAGTATGTTTTATTGATTATGTTATTACAGTTGTCCCATTTTTTTCTCTCCTGTATCCCCCTCTGCCCTGCACCCCTACTCCTTCCAGCATTTCCCCCACCCCCTTAGTTCATGTCCATGGGTCAAACATGTAAGTTCTTTGACTTCTCCATTTCCTATACTATTCGTTTTGGTGCACAGGACGATGCTCCAACCAACTGAGCCACCTGGCCAGGGCTCCTATACTATTCTTAACCTCCCCCTGCCTATTTTATGCTACCAATGATGCTTCTTAATCCCTGTACCTTTTCCCCCATTCTCCCCTCTCCCACTCCCTGCTGATAACCCTGCATGTGATCTCCATTTCTGTGATTCTGTTCCTGTTTTAGTTGTTTGCTTAATTTTTGGTTTTTAGGTTCAGTTGTTGACAGTTGTGAGTTTGTTGTCATTTTATTGTTCATAGTTTTTGATTTTCTATGTTTTTAGATAAGTCCCTTTAACATTTCATATAATAAGGGCTTGGTGATGATGAACTCCTTTAACTTTAACTTATCTGGGAAGCACTTTATCTGCCCTTTTATTCTAAATCATGGCTTTGCTGGATAGTGTAATCTTGGATGTAGGTCCTTGCCTTCATGACTTTGAGTACTTCTTTCCAGTGCCTTCTTGTCTGTAAGGTTTCTATTGAGAAATCACTGATAGTTTTATGGGAACTCCTTTGTAGGTAGCTGTCTCCTTTCCTCTTCTTGTTTTTAAGATTCCCTCCTTATCTTTAATCTTGGGTAATTTAATTATGATGTGTCTTGGTATGTTTTTTCTTGGATCCAGCTTCTTTGGGACTCTGAGCATTCTGGACTTGTACGTCCAGTTTCTTCACCAGATTGGGGAAGTTTTCCTTCATTTCTTTTTCAAATAAGTTTTTAATTTCTTGCTCTTCCTGTTCTCCTTCTGGCACCCCTATGATTCAGATGTTGGAACGTTTAAAATTGTCCCAGACTTCCCTCAATATCTCCTCATTTTTTTGAATTCTTGTTTCTTCATTCTGTTTTGATTGAATGTTTATTTCTTCATTGATTTGAGTCCCTGGTTCCTACCCTTCACTGTTGGTTCCCTGTATATTTTCCTCTATTTCACTTTGTTTAGCCTTCATTTCTTTATTTTGCAACCATACTCAATCCTTTCTGTGAGCATCCTAATGACCAGTGTTTTGAACTGTGCATCTGATGGGTTGGCTGTCCCCTCATCGCTTATTTCTATTTTTGGAGTTTCGATCTGCTCTTTCATTTGGGCCATATTTCTTTGTCTTAGCACACCTATTACATTGTAAGGGGTGGAGCATTAGATATTCGCCAGGGTGGGGCAACCTCCCCCTTCACTGCTTTGTGGCACTGTATATGGGAAAGGGGTCCAAGAGGAAACAATGCTGCTCGCTCAGTCCTTGCCCTTTCTGTCACTTCCCTCACTTCCCACAAGCAGATTGTGCCTTTAGGTGCTGATTCCCAGGCATGTGGGCTTATGTACATTCTAGGATCCCTTGTGCCTCTCCACCATCCTCTCTTGTAAAAGTGAGAGTTTCTCCTGCTGCCACAACCACCACAGATTTTTGCAGCCAGAGGTTTTGAGGCTTTATTTCTCTGCTCTGGAACCCTGGGTTGCGTGGTTTGTCTCGCTCCCCAATTCCTCCCAGCTCATCCACATGTGAACGTGGGATCGCCTGATCTTCCAGCCACCACCTCACCTGGTCCTCCATCGTCTGCCTTGCCGCACATCCTCTCTGCCTTGATTTCTTGTTTCTACCCATCCTACCAGTCTGGATGAATGTTTCTTCTTTAACTTCTTGATTGTTGGACTTCCATACAGTTTGATTTTCTGGCAGTTTTGGTTCTGTTTTTAAAATATTTTATTTATTTATTTTCAGAGGGAGGGGAAGAGGGAGAGAAACATCAATGTGTGGTTGCCTCTTGTGCATCCCCAACAGGGGACCTGGCCCCTCAACCAGGCATGTGCCCTGACTGGGAATCGAACCGGTGACCCTTTGGTTCACAGGCCAGTGAGCCACACCAGCCAGGGCTGTTTTTTGTTTTTAAAGTGGTTGTTATCCTTCTTTTGGTTGTATGAGGAAACAAAGTGTATCTACCTATGCCTCCATCTTGGCTGGAACTGTTTGTTTGCTTTTTGTATCAGGGTAATCTGGCCTCATAGAATGAGTTGGGAAGTATTCCCTCCCTTTTATTTTTTTTTTAAAACTGTGATGAATTGGTGTTAATTCTTATTTCAGTGCTTAGTAGATTTCACTAATGAAGCTATCTCATCTTGAAATTTTCTTTGTTGGAATTTCTTTGATTATTAATTAAAGATCTTTGTTAACTGTATATTCAAGTTTTCTATTTCTTCTTGAGTAAATTTTCAGTAGCTGTGTCTTTCTAGGAATGTGTCCATTTCATATAAGTTATCTAATTTGTTGGCATGTAGTTGTTTATAGCAGTAATGTATGTTCGTTTTTCATTGATGTACTATTTATAGTTTCAGTTTCCTTCTGAGCACTGCTTTAGTTGTATCTAGTAAGTTGTGATATATATTATTACCTGTGTTTTATAAAAATTTTACAATTTTAGTTTGTACTTCTTTCTTGATGCAATGTTAAGGAAGAGTTTTTTAAACCTTTGGTAGAAAGGCCCTTGTGTTTTCTGATTTTGTAATTAACTTTTAGTTTGGTTGCTATGTGTTGAGAGAATGTATGATTTTGGAGAAAGTATGCTTTCTTTCTTTTTATATTTATTGAGGGTATTTATGGTTGTGAATGTACCATTGGTATCTCAAATTGTTTTTATCTTCATTATATGGTCTGTGTTTTCTCAGCTTGGTTGGTGTATATGTCTTAATATTTGGAGGTCTTATGTTGAAAATTCTTTTCTTACCATTTTTTATATCTTTAAATGTCCTTATTTCTTGTTTTAGCAGTTTTTTCACCCTGCCTATAAAACATTAGGAGATCAACATATTTCCATTCTCTATTTTTTTTTCTCTTTACCTTTTATTATGGTATTTCAACAGTTTATGATGTTTGCATTCACAGAGTTTTAGTTCTTGTGCTAGAATAAATGGACTCTGCTCACTTCTAGTTCTTTGCCACACATTCTTTCTTCCATCCTAGTGACTCTTCCTCTTGTAATTTTTTCAAGAAAGACTCTAGGGCACTGTGTTCTCTAGGTTCTGTAGTTCAAATCTGAACTACACCAATTTACATTCTCAAATAACAGTGCATTACAGTGCCTGTTTACCCACATTCTGCTGAACAGATGTTATCAAGGGATTTATTTTTCTTCAAAATTTCCCACTCTGATGGGCATAAATAGTATTTCATTTTAGTTTTAATTTGAAATTTTCTTCTTGAGTCTGAGATCAAGTGCCTTTTCAGATGTTTAAAAGCCCTTTAGTCTTTTTGCCTTGATGGCTAGTGTCCGGCACCTGTTTCTGTTTGATTTTTCTCCTTTTGTTTTTGGAGGCCCTTCTTTAAAGTAAAAGAAATTATCCTTATTTTGTCATTTGAGAGGCCAGTGCTTTTTCCTAGTTGTGCTTTTTTTAGTTTGTTTACGTTTATTACTACAAGGAGTATTTTTATTTTATATAGTCTACTTTTTTATCAACCTTTTCTTTCATGACTTCTGGATTCTGTGCCCTGTTTAGGAAGGCGTTTCCACACTGAGATTTTTAAATTTTTACTTTCTTGTCATAATTTTCAATTGTCCACTCCTCATATTTTTGAGCCAAAAAAACATAAAGAACTTACTTTGTCATGATGTATGAAATGGGCCTATGATGTAACCTTTTCTTCAGATGATGACTCAGTTGATTCAGCAATGTTAATTCACAGAGATTTATTTTTGGAAGCTATTAATGTAGCACTGAGAGCAGGTAGGATCACCTAGTAGTATATTACAGAGTGAGAAAAGAGAAGCTAGGCCCGAGCCCTGAAAAAAAATTCTAAAATATCAGGAAGTTTACCTGTGGAGGACAGAAGAGCAGAGACGCCTGTGGAGAAAAGGTTTTAAAGGTGGGAGACTATTTCTGTGCTTAAATGCTAATAGGCCGAATCTAGTGAGGAGGGAGAGGTGAAGAAGTGAAAGGTTCCTTAGAAGGGGGAACAAGATCTCATTCTGCCTGAAGTTGGAGAGGCCACTTGTATGTTGCAGCAGGAGGAAGGAGGACAAGGAGATAACTGTCTTTGTTCACCTCTTAATATCTTTAAAGTAGTGTTAGGTTAGGAACTGAATATAGGTAGTAAGGTGGATGCTGGTAGACCCATCAAAGGTGAAGGGTCATGTCACTGAGGAACTGGCTGAGGTTAAAGATGAGGTGACTGTATCCGAGATTGAGAGGATTATCCCCCTCTGGTTCCAAATTAAGACCTTTGGCCTAACTGCTGTGTGCGCTTCCGGCTGGGGCCGGGGTCAAGCCTTTCCCAGCCTGTTGCTTCCCCGCCCCACCCCCACCCCGTCCCACCTCCCACTTGGGTTTTGTTTATGCTCACATTAAACCCAGCTCCAGGCGTGGCCTCATTCTTGTTGCCACGGTGATACAGAGGGTCACCCACCCACTGACCCCTGATGCCTGGTACTCTCAGGTCCCAGTTTGTTCTGATCCCTGTGGAACCTTCCTACAAGCAGCTTTTGAGCCCATGGCTTGAAAAGTGGGAGATTGTTTAGGGAGTGGTTTCTACTGCAGTTGACCTCTCAGGGCATCTGGCATTCTGTAATCCCAACCGGTGTTGGAAACTGTTGGTGCATTTCAGAGGCTGAGGAGATAACTCTGAACTGGCTTTTTGGCGGTCTGCTTTCTCTCTCATCCCCTGCTCCGGTCTTGAGCATCTTCTCTTCTGCAGGGGGACACGAATTTGCCTGATTCTGGAGACTCCTGGATAGGGGAAGCGCGAGGCCGATGTGCAGTGAGGAACAGTCACCCGAATCTGGCTGGGTCTGCTTGGAAGAGCTTAGCCTACAGTGAGTGGTGGGGGCATAGTCACCTGCTTGATTTGGGGACCTTGGAGGCTGAGGTTTGCTGGATCCAAGGGAGTTACTTCCCCTCAGGAGCTGTTGCCGTCCCGAGGCCCTAACACTCATGCCATCAGAGCCTCTGCCTCTTCACTGTAGGTCGCAGAGCCTCTCTGGGCAGTTGCTGCTGTTCTTCATCCAGTGTGTCCAGCCTGGGAACCTCCTTCTCCTCCTCCTACCAGGATCTGGCCAGGCACATTGTGGACATCTCTATGGCTGACGTAAGGAACTGCTCCACTCGTCCCCACGGTTCCTTTGACAGCCCTTAGCTCGGGGGAAGAGAAAGGTGGGAGAGAGCAGGCAGGGGGCCAGCAAGGCTGAGACGGCCTCTTCAGTGGCCCTCCCTCTTAACAAAAGGGGACTTCAGTAAACGCTGGCCTGAGTGACCAGGCCAAGGGTCTGGTTTATACCATACCCACTGATTGGGTGTGGTCACTGTTCCTAGGTGATGGCGGCTTGCTCGGATGATCTGCACAATCTCTTCAGTTGCCAAGCAGCAGCTGGCTGGAAGTAAGTTCCTTTGCAGTGTCTTGTCCTGCTCACCTCTTTCCTTTCCTTTCTCCACTTGGAGCACTTCCTTTGTGACCCTGAAACCTGTTCTTACCTTCTCCTCCCTGTCCTCGGTGCCCCAGCTATCAGGGTGAGGAACAGGAGGTGCAGCTCTACTTCAAGGCATTCTCTTCTACTCGGCATGGCTTCCTGGGGGCTGGTGTGGTGTCCCAACCGCTGTCTCATGTGTGGGCAGCTGTGAGTGACCCCACCCTGTGGCCCCTGTACCACAAGCCCATCCAGACAGCAAGGCTGCATCAGCGGGTGACTAACAGCATCAACCTGGGTAAGCCCAGGGAGGCGTCTGTGGGCTCTGCCCGGGGAAAGATAGCAGGTTGGGGGCAGCCCTCTCAGGAGGCTGCGTACTCAGACTACCTCCACATCACTCAGGCTGGGTCCGGCTGGGTGTTGGGTTGTGGAATGATGGGGTGTTGTGGGGGCGGGGGGTCCCTGGACCAAGAAGGATTTAGGACTAGGTCTTGCCCACACCTGCTGACTCTCCCCACCCTGACCCTCCAGTGTACTTGGTGTGCAACCCTGCCCTCTGTGCACTGAAGCAGCCGCGGGATTTCTGCTGTGTCTGCGTGGAAGCCAAAGAGGTGCGTGCCTTTACGATGGTAGAGATATTGTGGGGAGAACTTGGGCTGGAGTGTTGTGAAAAGCAGTCTTTGTGGCCCCAGGTCCTCTGGGGGGGAGGCAGGCAATTTGGGTGGGGGTGGGGGTGACTGAAGTTTGTCCCAGTGCTGCCTTCCACGGTAGTGACTGCGCTGGAGCCCATCCCTGTTTGATCCACATCCCACAGACAGGACTCACATTGCTCTCTGTCCCCAGGGGCACCTTTCTATCATGGCAGCTCAGTCTGTATATGACACATCCATGCCGAGACCCAGCAGAGAGATGGTCCGAGGGGAGATCCTGCCCAGTGCCTGGATCCTGCAGCCCCTCATCAGGGAAGGAAAGGAGATCACCAGAGTCATCTACTTAGCCCAGGTGACGCTCCCTACACGGCTGGCCTCACAGCCTGCTGGGATTCGACTTCACAGGCCCTTGGGAGTTTTTTTTAGCTGCTCAATATCCTTTAGTGCCCAGATTCTGTGGTCTGGGAATGAACCCCAGGGCTTTTTAGGTCACAGTAAGGGGAGTCAGTGGAGAATCAGAAGAAAGAATGAGAGAGTGGATCAACCTTCTCTGAGGCTGCTACAACCAGAGCCCAGCAGCCTGCCTCCTCTGGCTGGTCCCAGGGTCCTCAGAAGATACAGGAGTCTCTGTGAGGTGAATTCGGCTCTCCGCTCCCAGTTTCCAGACTTGACTGTTGTCATTGGGAGGTGAAGCCTTTGCCTAGATCTGAACAGCAGGGCAACAGGGCCTTAAGTCCCAGGACCGCAAACAGTCTGGGGAGCTTCTCTCATCATGACAGATGGTGCGGGGTGGGGCTACTTGTGGCTGAAGTGTGCTCGCTGCACACTCAGGTCTGTTTGTACCTTTTTTAAAAAGATTTTTATTTTTAAAGAGAGGGGAGGGGAAAGAGAGAGGGAGAGAAACATCCATGTGTGATATACATCGATTGTTTGCCTCTCGCGTGCCCCCAACTCTGGACCTGGCCCACAACCCAGGCACGTGACCTGATTGGGAATTGAACATGCCACACTTCCCTCTGCAGGACAGACAACACCCAACCCGCTAAGCAACACCAGCCAGCGCTGGTTTGTACCTTTGACTCTTCCCTTTCTGTTTTATTTCAGATAGAACTTGGTGCTCCAGGTTTACCCCCTCATCTCTTAAGCTCCTTCATCAAACAACAGCCACTGGTTGTAGCCAGACTGGCTTCCTTCCTTGGTAGTTAGCATCTCACTGTTGAGGTGATGCTGCTGAGATTCAGGCTCAGGATGCTCCAGAGGTACTGGGCCAGCTCTTGTTACTCTCTGTACCCTGATGCAAGAAAAGCCAAGGCCACTTGCTGTGATCAACTGAGCGGACAGCACTCAGCCCCGAGTTGCCAGTGAAGCCCAGTCGGCCCGTGGTCACAGCTGGCACCTCTGCAGAGCAAGGGGGCCTGAGTGCCTGGCCTTCCAGAGCAAACAAAGTTCAACTCATCTTGGATTTTCTACCTTTCTTTCTGCCTCTGGGACCCTATGGCAGACAAGCCCTGCAAAGACCAGGACTGGACACAGCCAACAGAGCTGGGAGGCGGCAGCCTCTGACACGGTGCTTCCTTAGTGTGGCCCAGCCCTCAGGCTGGTAGGGCGGCAGCCATTGGCCAAGACTCTGCTCAGAAACCTGCCTCCAGCATTCAGTTCCACTGTGGGATGGATGGAGTATTACTGAAACAGAAAACTGGTTTAAAAAAACAGCTGCACAAACCAGAACAGTGATTCAGAATCGTCTCTCCTTGAATTTTTACCAAACGCTTTATTATTTCTACCTTTCCTTCTGGGTCTTCGCCTCAGTCAGGAGTATTGACAGTGCTCTGTCATGAAGCAGTCACTTCAGAGCTCAGGAGAATGAGAAGACCACTACAGAAGCAGGTTGGACAGATTTGGGGTCCAAGTGGGGTCCTAACTCTTTAAGGGAGCATGGGGTGGTTAGGAGGTGGGTAGCCAGATGCTGGTTGCTGACAAGGCAAGAGGAGTTTCAGAGATGAAAAACTGTCTTTTGAAGATGGGAGAGAACATACTGGAACTCCTAGAGTAGGTAACTGATTTGTTAAGAGGAAGCTCAGTTCCATTTCTTACCACACTCAGATGGTCTTGTTAGCATTTCACGCTGCTGCTGCAGCCACACATATTCTAGGATGGATGGAGATGAATATTCTGTATGGTTACCTGGAAGTGATAGGGGGTGTGAGAGATTCCCAGCTTTAGTTCTGGTGCCCAGAATCTTCGGTGGACGGTGACCAGATGGGGATCATGATGTGGTAAATAGGTAAATTTCTGTAGATGATGGCAGAGATTTATTTTTCTAAAAGCGTTTTGTTTGCAGGATTTTTTTCCTCTTACCTCAATTAAGTTATTTATATATTATTGAATGAATGTTTTAAAATTGTCTTTAAACTTTTATTTTTCTGGGTTTTTTTTTCCTGTTTTGGTGACAGTTTTTATATTTAACACCCTGTTTGTGTACTCCCATCTCTTTTACTATAAATCTCTTACCAAGACTGTTGATTGAAGAGAGCACTTGCAGATTAGAAGTCTGATATGTACTTTTATTAGTGAAGACTATCCGGAGATAGCCTGTGTCATCTGAGCTCAGAATTTAGCTTGGAGAAAATGATGGCAAAAACTACTTATGGCCCAGTTTGAAGTTACAAAGTTTATACAGATGGACTGAGAGCTTTTCTTGAGCTCAGCACCTGCTTTAAAGCACATAAATAGCAACCAGATTAGTTGCCTAATTATGGCCAGTTGTAGCCCAAGTACCAACAATGAGGGAGGTAGTCTAGAATAACAGTGACCACAGTCCCCTGGAAGGTAGCTCTTTAACAGGTGTGCGCCTCTGGTACTTCCGAGGCAGATGCAGCAACAGGCACCTGAGCACCTGGGCAGCCCAGAGGTGACCTTATCCCCTTACTAGAGAAGCCACACACCAGGCCTGTGAGTCAGCAACCGAAAGAGTATTAACTGAGGCTGATACTATAGCAAAATGCAAAAGGGTGAAAGATAACCCACAGTCCTAATTTTTCACACTGAAGTCAGATTTTAGTTTAGACAAGTGATTTACAGACTTCGTTGTGCACCAGACTCACTGGAAGGACTTGTTAACACCCAGGCTGGGGCCCACCCCAGAGTTTCTGATTGAGTGCGACTAGATCGGACCTACAGTATTTGTATTTCTAGAAGTCCTAGGTGAGCCTGAGGCTGCTACTCTGAGAACCACACATTGAAAACCAATTTCTAACGATTAATGAAAAACAAATATATAGAAAGGAACTTAATTAGTTCACTAGCTCATTAGCTACCTCTAATTCCAATGTTATCTTACTGCTTAGACTAGACCTTTAAGGCTCACACAGGACAGCATTGTTCCCTGCACGGGCCTGTGCTAAGTTTAACTGAGTGGCCTTCAACCTATCATCCCTGGCCCTTCAGGCTCTCTCTCTCCTCTGCTGGCCTGCCCCCAACCCGCCCACTCGGAGCTGGCTGCTTGAAACGGCTGCTTCTTACCTTGGGGCTCAACTTCCTGAGGTAGTGCTTTTGTTCAGCCACCCCTAAAGGGTGCAGACAGTTGGTTCTCAGGCATTCAGAACTTCTTGAATTTCTGTAGTATTAACTGGATTTAAAGGCCAAAGGTAAAGGACTTTGAAAATGAAGAGATTAAGAAAAAAGGTTCACGTGCAGAAACTTGTTAAAGGAGTGACTGGGATGAGCTGAGAGAAAGGGAAAGGCAAAGGCACTGGGCAGAAGCCTGATTACAAAGAGGTAATTAATACATTGCGTACCGCATAGAAATCTCTAAGACATACACCAGGGTCGAATGACCAAAATACAATGTAACTGCAATGCTTTATGGGTTCATGCAATTATATAGTTTTTTGTAGATTGACCTGCACGGTTTCCACCAATGAGATTGCTTCATTCGATGTGGACAAGACAGTGTGTTGGCATCTAAAGTCCATAACAGATGGCGCATGAAACACGAGAAAACTCGCGAGCGGTACGCAATGTGTTAAGAGACAACCCCATGGGATGGACTTCAAGTAAATCTCTCACCAGCTCTACTGAGGTCCCACAGCAGACACCTCTAGGCTCAGAGACTCTTACCCTTCCTTGAATCAGAGATCTCCTGGACCTTTTCCCAAGAAATACACAAGTGTGCACAGAGAGTGTGTAAGCCATTTCAGTAAGATTCCCTGAGTACCGTCTCCTTCCCCTACAGCCTGAATCTCTGGACACACTGTTGTAGAAAAACCACAGATTTTTACAAGACCTTAATGCATATTATCAAGGCAGTGTGGGTGCTTGGTCAAATCAATGGGTCATTTAGAGATGCACAGAACACTTCTGTTGTGAGCCACATCACTGCCCCGCCCCGCCCCACCCCCGCCCCCACAAAGCAAGCACAAGAAGAGCCGCCCCACCATCTAGTTTAGTATAGAGTATCTAGCGAGTAAAAAGAACATATTGCACAGAAGCCAATTATGTGGGCAGTGAGTTAACAGGGGCCCAGGCTCGGTAGCCTGCAGGGCCTCATATGCTGGAACACTAGGCAGTGCTGGGTGGCCACACCACTAGTCCTGCTCTACCCTGTCAACACCCACCTCCAAGCCCACCCCGACATGTTGCAGCCTTTTGCAGGGAAGAATCAGGTATAAATAAGACATGAAGCCCTCAGTAAAGAGGAGTTTATTTTAAAAAACTCTAGTGTTCTGGTCCTTGCCCCTGCACCAGGGCAAGAGCTGGAGCTAGAGTCAAGTGTTACCGGCACAGGGTGGAGGAAGGGAGGTGAAGGGAAAAGCCGGGCTTCTGTCAGGAGCACCCCACCTCACTGTTGTGCACTTTTAAGGAGAACGCAGTCCAGCTGCTGGTGGTAAGAAAATGTAGACTCCCAAGATTCATGGGTTAACTTTACTCACAAGTTAAGCCGAAAGTCATTTGCCTCTGTCATGATTTCCCAAACCATAGTCTTGAGAGGTGCTGGGATAGCAGCAAGTGGGGCTCAAGCCAACACCCGTCATTTCTTTGAGTATCCAAGTAATAAATGCCAACTCTTCTGCTCCAGGACTGGAGTCTCTAGCCTTTTCCACCATAATCCTGAATCAGGCGAACCCTCCTCCTTCCTCTAGGACTCAGGGTGCCGAGCCCGCAGTCGGCGACAGGCCAGGCAGCCACGCACTTCCTTCACATGTGAGCAGGAAGCCTGATTTCATTCAGCTGCTCCTGTGCCAGCAAGGGTCAGCAGTGGGCACTTGGGGTGGCGCTGGGCCCTGGGGCCTCCTCCTGCGGCAGAGTCAGGCGGGGTTCCAGGCTTCTGCTGAGACATCAAGGCAGAGTCCCTGTCCTGCCCTAGCTCTGGGCCAGCACAGTCCCCCGGTTTGGCTGCACCAGCTCACAAGCTCTTAGCTGGGGTTCTGGCATCTGCGGCTCAGCTAGAAACAGGCTGAACAGTGTTGCTAATTCTTCAGAGAAGTCCTGCAGTAAGCAGAAAGATAACAGAAAAGGCAGACACGTAATTCTTGACGGTGCATCCTTCCTACTAAAAATCCTAAATACTAAGGCCATAGTTAAACCAGTGAGTAGACAACTTAGCTACTTCATATTTCCTGACTTCTACACTGAAATGGAGTTGAAACCTTGTCCCATTAAGTACTCTGGGGAGCTCAAGCTCTGGCAGGGAGAGTAAACTGACCGGAAGCTCTACTGAGTACTAATCGCCATCTGAGTACATAATATGTACATTATTTCATCTTGACAAACCCTAGAAGATATAATTATTCTCATTTTATGGTGAAACTAAGATGAATTATTTGCCCTAAATCACACATTAAGTACTAGACAGGATTAAAATTCAGGTTATTGCTTTAAAAAACCCACACTCACTCTGCCACGCTGCTCTCCCACTATACCCACCTTCCATCTTCCCTTCCTCCACTGACCTGGCCCCTCACGCAGTGGCTGCTCAAGGGTGAGGAAGGCACATACCAGGACAGCCACTTCATTTCAGGGTGGTCCCGGAGACACCTGACAAAATCCCCTGAGCTTTGGAAAGATGCTAAGAATGCCAGGCACCACCACTTGCCCGCTTTCAGGATAAAAGGGACATAGGATACCTGTTCTCTTCACAGGTAAGAGATGAGGACTCCTTACCTCTGGCCACTGGGCCTCACGGAGGCTGTCCAGGCAGGCCTCTATCTCTTTCCGTCCCATCAGACCTTTCTCCACCAGCTCCCGGAGCAAGAACAGCAGCAGGTCCCACTGCAACACACATGCAGGAGGTGAGGGTGGCTGGGAGGACTACGCAGTGACCCTGACTAACACAAAGGACAGAGCTGCAAGGAGTGAGAAGACTTCTAAGGTCAACTGCTACAGGAGTTCATTTCAGCATGGAAGAGAAAATGGGGAAACAAAAGAAACAAGCTCATAACGTCTGAGGTAAGAGTGGTGGGTATGAGAACATGACCCCGCAGGACTAAGCCTGTCTGCCCCCCATCCACCCACCCCTCTGACTCACCTCCCTTGGCCGAGTGTCCGCCAGAAGCCCCACGTTTCTTGGGCTCAACAGCAGCTGCAGGGGAACAGGCACCTGAAAGTCGTCCTTCCACAGGGAAAGCAGCATGTGCAGGAGCCTTCGAGCCTGCCCTCTCTCCAGCCAGTGCTGTGGGGGGGGCCCTAGGACAGGAATCTGGTCTGCAACTATGGGGAGAGGGGAAGCCAAACTTAAATAGAGGCAGAGTCACCTGGCCAGCCCCTGGGAGGAAGAAGAACAAAAGAAAGTTTTGTGATCTAATCTTGCTTGTACCCAACCCTGAGATCAGGGGGATCTGGCAAGAGAATGAGGTGACAGAAGACATACCAAGGAGGGATGCTAACTCCACAGAGCACTTTGCCAGATGCTGCTCGGCAGGTGGGCACAGGAACTGGGGAAAAAGCAGGGAGACCCCTGGGCATTAGCACCATCCTTGGAGTTGCAGCCCTGAGCCGATGCGGCTCTGGTTATTAGGCACAGACAAGGACACAAAGGCAGCCTGCCGTGGCCTACCTGGCGGCACCGCAGTGTCTGACCCAGATGGCCTAGGAGCTGTTCCAGATGCTCTGGGGACACTCCCTCTTCAGGGTCCCGGGGCCCCGCGGCCACCGAGAGCACATCCTAGAGAGGGCAGGGCCAGGAGCAGAGTGAGGCCACAGAGAATGCGGCTTGGGGTGGGGATCAGCCAGTGGAGAGAGGCAGGAGGAAAAGGCAGGCAGGACCCCTAGAGGGAAGTGGTTGGACTGAGGCGCCCTTGGACTGGGGGCTGGTGCAGGACAGCACAGCTGGGAGAGGCAACCAAGTGGACAACAGAGGGGACAGATGGAGCAGGTAAGCCAAGGAACAACATGCTGCCACAGAGTTCAAGAGATATCGCTTGTCGTGGGACAAAGCCATACCTAGCCAATTTCCAGAGAATGTCTTATTATTCTGAAAGAATTTAGGGGGAGCACCCTACTGCACACATGCAATATTTTCTCTTTCATGCTTGTCGAGGTTTCAGTACGGAAATCCTCTGTATATTGAAAACCAGTAGCTACTGGCCACTTTGCCTACCTTTCTCTCTCCTATATACTCTTCAATTTTAGTCCCTAGTCCACATCTTTACTCCTACACCACTATCCTAGACCAGGGAAAATGAGTAAATAGTTGAGGCTTTGCAAGTCATGAGGTCTGTGCGCCAACTGCTCAGCTCTGTGCTGTAGCACAAAAACTGCCTTGGACAATTCGTAAAGGAACAAGTATGGCTGTGTTCCAACAACAGTTCAGTTATAAAAGAAGGAGCAGGTTGGATTTGGCCTATGGGCTGTTGCTGACCTTGGGTCTAGACAGTCTGATTTTTTTAAAAAATCAAGTTAAAAGCACTGATAGATTATCCTTACTGCCTGTAACTGAACAAGTATAACCTCCCACACAGAACATTTCTGAAATCATATCCCAATACCAGGTGACTGCCCCATAAAGACTGTTAGTACCCACCCCTATCACCATCGGTAGAGTATGTATCTAGTAAAACATTTTCCTATCTACCCTTTCCTCCTTTCAGGTGATTCAAGTACAAAAGTCAAAGAAGAATGATTAGGAAAGCCATTCAGTTGAACCCTGTCCTACCTCATCCCATTCAGTATCAAACAAAACGGGAGCTATAGCTGGACAACACAGAAAGCCGCGACACATACTGGAGCTGATGTGGAAGAGGAGGAGGCTGGGGAAAGAGCAGGGAGTCGGGGAGAGGAGCTGAAGGGAGTAGGGAGCCGTGTACTTTGATCTCGGAGATGAGGTGGGAGGGGAGGGGAGCATGGTGCTCACAGGCACGGGAGCAGCCCCTCCGCTCCCCCCGGGCAGCCGGGTCAGGACCCTGGGCTCGAAGCATGCGACTCACTGCTGCTTTCACCTCTCTCCTAATCAGCGCTGTAGGTCAGAGGGAGAACAGAGAAGAGGTTACCAGAGCAGCCCTACATGGGCTCACCATGCCGACCCATGCATGCCCTTCGCTGTTTCCAGCAGGCTCTGAGTCCCATCTCCCCCAGATGTCCTCCAACTTCATGCCAGTCCACTTCTGAAAAACTTGGGTCAGCTACTCCTCTTGCCTGGACCTTACCTGTAATGTTCGCTGACAACCAAGTACAGGCTTTCTCTGTTGCAAGCCCCACAGCAATGTTCTCTGCACTGCTCAGAACCTGTAACACACAGAAGGACTTGCAGAGTCAAGGGCTAGGGGAGGCCTGGGGACGATGACAAATGCCCAAGTCCATGACTGACCCACCCACCACCAGCAGCCTCACATGCATGTTCACAAGCACACACCTCTCCCATACCAACCGCCCAGCCCGCTAGCTCCAGGCCTCCTTCCTACGTACGGCTGCCGGGGTCTCCTCAGGGAGCAGCGCCCGCACAGCACCCGGGCTCTTTTTTTGGCAGAACCTATAAGGAGACAGAGGAGGTCAGTGATGTCTAGTTAGTTTAGCCTGACTCAAAGAAGGTACTTCCTGAGTGCAGCAACCACGTGAGCGGGGAGGGATGTGCCTGGGGGTTGGGGGCACTGTTAGGTCCCTGGCCCCACCCAGATGCTTGTAGGAAGAGGAACCCCAACCACCTGCTCTTCTAATACAAGTTGGAGTTTTGGTCCCAAAAAATTCTAAAGCCAAAGATATCTTAAAGAGGAGGCAAAAAAAAAAAAAAAACAACAACAACAACAAAAAAAGGCATAAAGAAAAGCAGGGTGGGAAGAAGACATGGAATAAAGGACATGAGTATAAAAACTAAGAGGAGAGGGTCCAAACAGACTGCAGTCTCTTACTCCCGCCCCTGGGTCAATGCCTGGGCCCCGTGGGGGCACAGCTGGGAACACAAGATCTCCAACAGCTGGGCTGGATCTCCCCCTTCCTGTCCATGCGTCAACAGCTGCTCCTGAAGAAGTGCTTCTGCCTGGCGCACCAGATCTGCCACCAGTGTGGCCCTGTAGCAGGGACAGCAATGTTTGGAGGTAGTTGGAAGGGTTGAATCAAAAAGGGGCTGCAAATTCAAGGAAATCTGGTCAGAACTAACTTCAAAGAAAGTTAGCAATTTCATCCCCTTGTCCCATACCACCCTGGACCCTGCCTCCCCAATCCCCTACAACTGACTTTCCTCAGTTTGGCAACAAGGTGTTAGAACTTGAAAGGGAAAAAATGGTAAGGGAATGAGACTGGGACCCTCAACACCTCCATTCCCAAACCCCGCAACCCACACTCACTTGATATGTTTGACACAGTTAGAGCCAATTCTCTCTGCCACAAACTCCACAGTCCGGCGCAGGGAGGGTGGCTGGTTGTGGAAAAAGGCTTGGGCCAGCTGGGCCTATGGGGAGGAGAGAGCAATGCAGTGAAGGGTTCTCTTTTCCCCACTCGGTGGCCCCCGACTTCCACTCTGCCCCTGCCCCTCACCTGCAGCCCCTGGGTGGTCCGCAGAGGCTGGGCTCCCAGGCCCGTGGTGGTGGTAGGGGTGATTTTTCTCACGAAGCCCCCACTCCGCCCACTGCTGCCTGATACCCACGAAGCAAGCAGTTTGCGGAGCTCTCCTGCATTAGGGAAGACCAAGTGCTTAGTTTTAGAACCCCCTTCCCCGTCACCACACATGTTAGACTTCAGTGAAGCATTTGTGGGGTAAAGAGGCTGAGGCACCTGGGGAGTGCCTAAGAACAGAACATCACATTAGGGTGTTAGGCCCATGGGGTGCCTTTAGGGTACTCATGAAGGGACAGGCCAAGGACTAAGGACTGTTTGGTGGTGGGGGTGGAGGGCTGGTGACACAAGTATCCTCACCGATGTAGGGACAACAAATGTAGAGCAGGTGCTGGTCCACCACAGGCATGCCATCCTGAGGGGAGAGAACAGTCCAGAATTGGGAAGGCACGCAGGCTTCTCGTCCTTCCCAGTGTGCCAGAAACGGGTCAGGTACAAAAATTATACAAGAGTTCAGTCTCTATCCTGGCTTGTCTCCTGCTGGGCCTCAGATAGCCTGCTGGACCCCATGGCTGTGGCTGGACCCCAACACTTACCAAACTCTGCTCTGAAGTTCTTGTATCCAGCTCAAAGGCATCCAGCTGATGCTCTTCCAGAAAAAACAGGTCCTCAGGGACTGTGGGAATCTGATGAGAGATTAAAGCAGTACAAGCTCCGGTCAGCACTTGAGGGCTTCATCACACCTTCTATTCAGTGGATTCCGGCTTCAGGCAACCTTCCTCTGAAACTACAGTAATTCCCAGAGCTCCTCTGAACCTTCATTTTCTGGCCCCAACCTTGATCAGAGCCCGACATTCTCCCTTTCCCCATCTCCAGCCATAGCAGTCACCCCCCTTCCTTTTCCAACCTGGACCCTCACTCCACCAACCTGGAAAAGCCAGCCCAGGACGGCAAGCAGCAACAGCTTGTTCAGGAAACACATCTCCCCTTTACCTTCCTTTGACAAAACCAACCTCCTAAAAGGTAAATGAGGGTATCAACTGAATTTGTGCAAAGAAAGAAATGAAATGGAGTAAAAGAAAGCCATGGTTGAGAAGGTAATTCTCAAAAGCAGACCTAAAAGAGACTGCTGTCATATAGGTGACCAGGATCTATCTCCTCACTGCCCCTTCCCAGGCCTGCACTCCCTCTTGGCTGGGCCACAGGCAAATAACTACCCAATGTCTTTCCTTGTGGACCAAATCCCGCCTCTCCCCAAGAGTGAGTGATGGCTATGGTTCCATACAGGAAGCACAGGCTGCTTGACTCTCTTCATAAACAGCAGCCTCAGCAACATTCTGTCCACACTGTTTTTAAGCTGTGCCCTTTCTCTACTCACCGATGTAAGTGTAGCAGGAGAGTGAAGATGCTGCGGTAATAGTCCAGCATGGGAACAATGTGGTCAGCCAGTGAAAGGAACTCCACCAGCCAGGGTACTGTGAGCACCGCTCGGTGGGCCTGCAGCCCCTGCTGCAGCAGAGCTCGTACATCCAGGGCTGGGGGCACCTGGCAGGGCCAGAAGTAACTCAGTGGGCAGGTCCCAGGGCTGGGAAGTGTGCCCTCTGACTACAGTGTCTTCTGGTTCCTCCCAGCTCCCTCCTTACCACAGCCCCTATTCACCTGGCTCCTCAGGGCCACAAGGGAGTCCTGGAGCTCACGGGTTGGGGGTGGTTCAGGCCCCCGGTAGGGCATGAAAGCTACAAAGCCCAGGAATTTAGCCAGAAGCCTTAGGCTGAGCAGCACCACAGCAAACTGTCTCCGTTCACCCTGTAAGGAGATCAGGGAAGTAAAAGGTCCTAAGCATAAGGCTTCTAAAAAAAAAAAAAAAAAAGTCCAAATCTGTTAGAAAGTTTTTCTTGAAAATACCCCTGCCCTCCTAGGTCAGAAACCCTTCAACTTCCTTGTTCTGCTTTCTAACCTGCCAGTCCACATCTGACTCCCCATCTTCATCACTAGGCTCAGGCTGAGGCAGGACAAGGCTGTTGAGCTCCCGGATCTTCAAACTCAGACTATCCATGAGATGCTGATTAAACTGGAAGCTAGGAAGCGGAGGAAGAAATAAAAAAAATAAAAAACACAACATTGGAACAGGTGAAAGAAGAACTGGAATAGACAAGAGGTGCTCCAGACAGAAGGGCTTAGAGGGGTTGAGGGGGAGGCCAAGGAGCAATGAGGTTACTCACAGGGGTGAAGGAGCAAGAAAGAGCTCCTCAGGTGGTGGGGCAGGTAAACACTGTGCTTGCCTCCTCCCATGACCACATCAAAATTACAACTTATAGAACAATCCTCAATGAGATCCACCTGAAGACTAACTGAACAGAAGTTCTCTCACTAAGGATGTATAGAAGCCTCCACTTTGAAACTGGTAGTAGGAGTCGAGACACTGAAAGGACAAATCCCATACCCACATGTGGCGAGTAAGAAGACGGCATTTTGAGGAAGACGCTGTTGCAGCTACAGTAAAGGGCTGTCCTGTGTGCTCTTGCTCCTGACCCAGGAAGCTATGCAGCAGCAATGGCTTTTAAAGATACTAGAAAGACACCCATGGGACCAGAGGTGACAATTACTCATTTACAATTACTCTAACCGGCTGCAACATAAAGTCTTTGGAGGAGATGTGTGCTGACTTGATCAGAGGCACAAAGGAAAAGGATCCCAAGGTGAGAGGACCATTTGGATGCCTACCAAGATTCTGAGAACCGCTACATGAAAAACTCCCTGGGGGCAAGGTTCTAAGACTTAGGACCTGTTTCAAATAAGGACTCACAAGTGACTCATTGACTCCCAAAGCCCTTCTGAGGTTGTTAAGCAGGTTACTTCCATCAGTGTTGAGCCAGGAGTTGAGGTTGAAGTCACTACTGCAGATGCTTAAATCAAAGTTTTTAATAAATTGACTATCAGTAGTTTAGAGAAAAAGAGAAGGAAAAAAATTAGAAGAGATCTCAGTTGTGGAGTTCCCTCCTGAGGAACGAGGGGTCACAGCCCCACACCAGGCTCCCCAGCCCAGGCTACCAGTGCTGGCAAGAGTCCCCATGACTCCCGGCTGTGAAAACCAGGAGGGATTGTATCCCAGTGAAACAAAAGGGCTACTGGAGTCCCAGGTGTTCCTCTTTAAGGGCCAGTGCACAGACGTATTCGCACTGACACTCGCTCTGGCTTCAGTGCAGGGGCAGCAGCTAGAAAAGCTCCAGGGCCTTACGGAGAGGACTTGAATTTGACTAAATTCAGGACAAGGGCTGGAGGTGGGGAAGGCTGGTCAGCTCTGTCCAGGGATGGAGATGCTGACACGCCTTACTGTTCCTTTGCTGAGCTCTCCCTCCGCCCAGCCGGAAATCTGTGCTCTCCATTATTCGGGCTAACACTGTTCACCACCCTGGTGATTCCTGAGACCCCGTCCCACTCCTACTCATGTACTTGGCTCGAGCCACTTCCAGCAGTTTTCCACACAAGTGTCTGCCTTGGCTTACACTGTGGACTTCCTCAAACTCTCTCAAAGGTCCACAAAACCCAAACATCACAGAGGCTGGTCTTGGTGTGCCCAGTACCTCTTGCTAAGTGATCCGAAGACTGGCACAACTGGCAACTGGTCTCAACTTGTGCTGCATCTCCCATCAGGTGGCAGCCAGTCTTAAATTGGAACACAGCTCCACCAAAGTGGCTAACGCCTAAAAACAAGCGGTGTCTGGCCTAAGCACATACTGTGTTGCCCACCAAAGGACACTGGAGGAAGCTGGCCTTGGTTTATAGTATAGGGTCTCCCGAGCACTGCCAAGCCCAGCACAAGTGGCAACCAAATGCAGATCTCTTTGTAGCTCCAACCATGGAGCCCCAACCCAAGCACAAATGGTAGCTGATATTGGCCTGAACCAAGGCCCCTTCTGAGAGGCTCCAGAACTTACACACCAGGTGGCTGGCTTCAGATTACAACAGAGCACCAGCCAACCAGCTCCTCAAACAATGCACTTGAAGAGGAACTTGACTGGTACCAGAGCCCTGCTAAAGTGCCTCTTGCTCAATGGGGTCAACCCCTGCACAAAAATTGTTCATTGTAATCAAGGCCAGCCCTAACAGCCAGTCAGACTGAGGGTCAATCCCAACCCACTGATGGGCCAACATCAAGCAAGCCTCAACTACAACAGGAAGGCTCACACAACCCACACAAGGGACATCCCTGGAGCACCCAGCTCAGGTTAATGGGGAGGCTATGCCACTGGGCCTTACAGGACACCTACTACATAAGGCCACTGTGTCAAAACAGGGATATGTAGAAATCTACCTAATATATAGAAACAAACATAAGAAGACAGTCAAAATGAAGAGACAAAGAAACATGTCCCAAATGAAATAAGAAAAAACTACAAAAAACAAACAAACAAACACAAAAAACAGAGACAAGCAGTTTACCAGATTCAGAGTTCAAAATACTGGTTATGGGAAAGTTCAATGGGGCAAGAAGGCCATGCCAGAGGAGGTCAAGCATAGACTGGCTGTTTTAAACAAAAAGAAGCAAACAAAAAGAATGCTCAACAAACACTGGGGAAGGATAGATGAGCTCAATGAGAATCTTAACAGAGAGAAAAGAACTATAAAAAATAGCCAGTCAGAAATGAGAAGTACAATAACTGAAATAAACAATACATTAAAGGGAATCAACAGCCACTTAAACGAACCAAAGGATCAAATCAGTGATCTGGAAGATAAGGTAAAGGCAAATACCCATTCAGGGGGGGGAAAAAAACTTAGAAGAGTTTAAGGGACATCTGGGACAACAACAAGGGGACCAACATTCACATCACAGGGGTACCAGAAGGACAAAAGAGAGAGCAAGTAGTTAAAAATCCAGTTGAAGAAATAATGACTGAAAATTCCCCTAACCTGATGATAGAAACAGACATACAAGTCCAGGAAGCACAGAGAGGCCCACACAAGATACATCAAAATTAAAATGTCAGGGTTTAAAGACAAAGAATCTTAGAAGCAGCAAGAGAAAAATAGTTAATTAACTAGAAGGAAGCCCCCAAAGACTATCAGCTAATTTCTTAACAGAAACTGCAGACCAGAAGAGATTTGCAAGATATATTCAAAGTGAAGAAAAGCAAAGACCTATAAAAAAATATTACCCAGCAAGGCTATCATTTAGAATCAGAGAGATAAAGTGTTCCCTAGACAAGAAAAAGCAAAAAAAGTTCATCACAACTAAACTAGTATTAAAAGAAATGTTAAAGGGACTTCTTTAAGAAAAAATGAAAAGATAAAAAATGTGATTAAGAAAAAACAGGAAAGAAAAAATTCTTACTGACAAAGACAAAAAAGCAGTGTATCAACCAACTCTAAATCTAATACAAAGGTTAAAAGGCAAAAGTAGGAAGATCATGTGTAAGTGCAACAATAAAGGGTATACACAAACCCACACACAAGAAGTAGTAAAAAGTAATGACAAAAACATAAATGTGATAAATATGGAGGGGGTAAGTAAAAATTGTAGTGATTTTAAAGTATGTTTAAACTTAAGTGACCAACTCAAAATAGACTGCTATAAACATAGTTTGTTATATATAAAACACATGTTAACCATAAACCAATAATCTGTAAGAGATATACCATATATAAAGAGAAAGGAAACCATATACAACACTGTAGGAAGTCATCAACATACAAAAAAAGAGAGGAAGAGAATAAGAAAGGATCAGAGAAGAACTACAAAAACATTAAGAAAACAATAAAATGTTCTGAAAACTATATACCTATCAATAATTACTTTAAATATAAATGGACTAAATGCTCCCATCAAAAGACAAACATGGCTCTATGGATTTAAAAAAATAAGACCAGTACATATGCTGTCTACAATAGACCTGCTTCAGATCAAAATACATACACAAATGTAAAGTAAAGGGATAGAAACATTTTTCATGGAAATGGAAATGAAAAAAGTTAGGGGAGCAATACTTAGACAAAATAGACTTTTAATCAAGGGCTGTAACAAGACACCAAGAAGGGCATTTCACAAACAGATCAATCCAATTAGAGGGTAGAACCTTTGCAAACATCTACGCAACCAACACAGGAGCCACCCAATATATGAAGCAAATGTTGATGGCTATACTGGGAAAGATAGATAGTAATACAGCCGTAGTAGTGGATTTTAACACCCCATCGACATCAATGATATACCTTCCAGACGGAAAAATCAACAAGGAAATAGTGGCCTTAAATGAAATACCAGACCAAATGGATTTAATTGATATTTTCAGAGCATTTCAACCCAAAGGAGAATATATATTCTTTTCAAGTGTTCATGGAGTGTTTTCCAGGATAGACATGCTGGGCCACAAAACAAGTCTCAATAAATTTAAGAAGATTCAAAGCATATCAAGATCTTCTCTGGCCACAATGGTCTGAAACAATAAATTAATTATAAGAAGAAAACTGAAAAAACACACAAACACATGGAGGCTCAATCACATGCTTCTAAAAAATTAATGGGTTAATGAGATTAAGGAAGAAATCAAAAGATACACCTTTTTACAAATGAAAATGAAAACATAAATGACTAAAAAAATCTGTGGGAAACAGCCAAAGCAGTTCTAACAGGAAAATTCAGAGCATGACAGGCCTGTCAAGAAACAAGAAAAATCTCAAACAATCTGACCTTACACACAGAGGAACTAGAAAACAAAGCCCAAAGTGAGTAGAAGGAAGGAAATAATAAAGATCAGAACATAAATAATTGAAATAGAGTCTCCAAAACTATTGAAAAGGTCAATCAAACCAAGAACTATTTCTTTGAAAAGACACACACACACAAAAACATCAATAAACCTTCAGCCAGACCGTCAAAAGCAATGGGAGGACTCAAATAAATAAAAGCAGAAATAAAAATGACAACCAACACCACAGAAACACAAATGATTGCAAGAAAACACCACAATCATATGCCAAAAATTTGGACAACCTAGAGGAAATAGATGAATTCCTAGAAACACAAACTTTCAAGGCTGAATCAGGAAGAAACAGAAAAACTGAACAGACTGATAACGGCTAACAATATCAAATCAGTAATCAAGAAACTTCCAACAAACAAAAGTCTTGGACCAGATGGCTTCACAGGTGAATTTTAATAACCATTCAAAGAAGAATAAATGCCTATCCTCAAACTATTCGAAAAAGTCAAATGAGGTAGGGTGGGAAGGCTGGTGGGAGAAGGTCCCAAACCCATTTTATGAAGACAGCATTATCCTGATACCGAAACCAGAGACACTACAAAAAATGAAAATCATAGGCCAATATCCCTGATGAACGTTAATGCAAAACTCCTGAACAAATATTAGCAAACTGAATTCAGCAATAACTTAAAAAGATCATACGTCCTTATCAAGTGGGATTTATTCCTGGATGCAAGGTTAGTTCAAGCTCCATAAATGAATTAATGTACTATACCACATAAACAGAATGAGGATAGAAATCATACATTATCAATACGTGCAGAAAAAGCATTTGACAAAATCCACCATCCATTTATGACAAAAACTCTCAGCAAAGTGAGACAGAGGGGACATACCCCAACATAATAAAAACCAGATATGATGAATCCCCAACTAACATTATACTCAACAGTGAAAATCTAAAAGCTCTTTCTTTAACATCAGGAAAAAGACAAGCATGTCCACTTTCACCACTTTTATTCAACATAGTATTGGAAGTTCTAGCCATAGCAATGAGACAAGAAAAAGAAATAAAGAGCATCCAAATTGGAAAAGAAGTAAAACTGTCATTTTTTGCAGAGGCCATGATACTCCATATAAAGAACCTTAAACATTCCACCAAAAAAATTATTAAAATAAATGAATTCAGTAAAGTATTGGGATACAAAATTAATATTCAGACATGTTTCACTTTTATACACCAATAACAAACTATAAAAGAAGTGAAACTGAGAAAACAATCCCATTTATAATTGCATCAAAAAGAATAAAATACCTAGGAATAAATTTAACTGAGGAGGTAAAACACCTGCCTGTACTCAAAAAACTGTATGACACTGAAAAAAGAACTGACGATACAAATAAATGGAAGCATATACCATCCTCATCGATAGGGAGAATTAACATCATTAAAATGCCCCTACTACCCAAGGCTATCTAATAGATTTCATGCAATACCTATCAAAATATCCATGGCATTTTTTCACAGAATTAGAACAAGTAATTCTAAAATTTATATGGAACCACAAAAGACCCCAAATAGTCACAGTAATCTGGAGAAAGAACAACTAAATTGGAGGTATCACACTACCTGATATCAAATTATACTGCAAGCCTATAGCAATCAAAACAGGTTGGTACAGGCATAAAAACAAACACATGGATCAATGGAACAGAAGAGAGAGCCCAGAAATAAATCCATGCATATATGGTCAATTAATCTATGACAAAGGAGGTAAGAATATACAATGAGTTAATGACTGTCTTTTCAATATATGGTGTTGAGAAAACTGGACAGATCCATGCAAAAAAATAAATAAAAGAAACTGGATCACATTCTTACACCATATACAAAAATAAACTCAAAATGGATTAAAGACTTAAGTGTAAGACCTGAAACCACAACACTCCTAGATGAAAAACATAGGCAATAAACCCTTTGACATCACTTTTAGCAATATTTTGGGGGGTACATCTCTTTGGACAAGGGAAACAAAAAAGAAACAAATGAAACTACATCAAACTAAAAAGGTCTTGCATAGTGAAGAAAACCATCAGCAAAATGAAAAGATAACCCACTGAAAGAAAGAAGGTATTCACCCACAATACATCTGATGAGGGGCTAATACCCAAAACATATAATGAATTCATACAACTGAATACCAAAAAACCCAAACAATCCAAATGGGCAAAGGACCTCAACAGACCTTTCTCCGAAGAGGACATACAGATAGCCAACAGACATATGAAAAGATGCTCAAACTTAACTAATTATCAGGAAAATGCAATTTGAAGTCAAAATGAGATATCATCTCACACCTTTCAAAGTGGCTATAAGCAAGAAATCCACAAACAACTCTTGGCAAGGACATGGAAAAAAGGGAACCCTCATACACTGTTGGTGGGTCTGTAAATTGGTAGAGCCATTATGTGAAACAGTATGGCAGCTCCTCAAAAATTAAAAAAGAAATCCAAAACACTTCAGCATTATTTACAAATGACAAGTATGAAAGCAACCTAAACGTCCACTGACAGAAGAATGGATAAAGAAGATATGGTGCAGCTCTGGCCAGTGGCTCATTTGTTTGGAGCACTGTCCCATGCCCCAAAAAGTTGCGGGTTCAATCCCCAGTTGGGACACATGCATAGGCCATGGGTTCAATCCCTGGTCAGGGTGTGTACAAGAGCCAACTCATAAATGTTTCTCTCACATAGATTATTTCTCTCTCTTCCCTTCCTCTTTCTCTAAAATCAATAAATATATCCTCGGATAAGGATAAAAAAAAAAAGATGTGGTACATATACAGATGGAATATTACTCAGCCATAAAAAAGAATGAAACCTTGCCATTTCTGACAACATGGATGCCCCTAGAGGGTATTATGCTAAATGAAGTCAGACAAATACCATATAATTTCACTTATATGTAGAATCTAAAAATAAAAAACAAACAAACAAAACAAAAAAACTTATACAGAGAGCAAACTGATGGTTGCCATATGGGAGGGGTGCTGGGGATATGGGTGAGAAAGGTAAAGGGATTAGGAGTTAATATACATTTTCAGTTACAAAATAGTCACAGGGATGTAAAGTACAGCAAAGGGAATACAGTCAATAGTACTATGATAACTGTATGGTTTCTCGTGGGTACTAGACTTGTCCAGGTGATCACTTTGTAAGTTATATAAATTTCTAATCACTATGTTGAATACCTGAAACTAATTTGTAATGTCAAATGTAAAAATTGAAAAAAAAAATTTAATTAAAAAAACAATAAGAAGGAAAATGGAGGCAGAAAGTGAGAGCTAGAAGGAACCCATATATCACCCAGTACAACCCTGTTACATTTCAGGCAACGAAGAGAGAACTGTCCGCCCTTCTGGGAAGACAAACCTCTCCTGGCCTCTGCCCCCTCCCGGTAAGACACAGAAACCTTTACCTGCTGGCACTCAGGATGAAGTCCCTGAAGAATCCCTGACAGCCTGGGAAGGAGGGGGGTGGACAGGGCCCCCCACTGCTCTGAGGGGCCGCAAGCCGTTCCTGTAGGCGCCGCAACCGCCCCAACTTGTCAGCTCCAAGCATACTTAACACATCTGGAGCCTCACCCAAGATAGTGCCCCCGGTACCACCAGGACTCTGACACATCTGGGGCAGTGAGGAGGAAAGAAATTTAAAAAAACAGTAAGTTTTTCTGGAAAGAAGGACTGAACAAAATAAACAGGAAGTAATAAACATTTATGGAACGCCAACCTTCTATCAGGTGCCACAGATACATTTTTTGAGATGGGGATTATGTTTTTGTTTTACAGGTGAAGAAAATGAAACTGCAAGATTAAACATCTGTCTAGGGTCAACAGAACTAGGATCTGAAACCAGGCCCACCTGAGTCTTAAAGCCCACGTTCTTCCTACCACAGCAGAAATCAAGGGCAAGGAAGTAGTGCGAGGCTGAAGATAGGCAGGAAGGTACAGGGCATGAGAGGCGGCCCGGGGAGGTGTAGGTGCAGGGCATGGGAGAGGGCACCCTGGTTTCTCTCCAGCTGCCTGAGTTTCAACCATCACTCAAGAAGCAGGACTCCCATTCAAACTCCAGCCCAGGACCTGCCTGGCTGTCTGCCCTAGCCCGCAGTGCCAGCCATTACTTGGCTGTCTATAATGCCTACTGTTCACTGTAGGTTAATCTCCTGCTGGGGCTATTACCTGGAGAAGTTGTTTTTGGAAAAGCCGAACAAAATGACTGTGGCTGCAGGCTGCAGAGAGTTGACCCATCATGGCTCTGAGGAATAAGAAGCAAGAATGTCATGTGAGGGAAGAAGGAAGGGGGCAAATTTGACAGAATAAGCCAATGCTTGGGCAAAACTTTCAGCCCTTTACCAGGCCCTTTGAGCAGAACTCTGCCATAGCCGGCCAGCACAAGAATGTAGGAAAAGGTACGGGATACTTTCCTCTGTAGTGAGATCCCTTCAAGGTTAGAGATACACTTAGCTAACCAAGAAATAATATCACCCTCTAATCTTCAGTCTATACAGAGAGCCAGTGAGCTTCACGACCCACAAGGAAGGCAGATCACTGGACAGAGAATATTGTTTCTGCACCCTAGTTATCTAGCTATGCAAAGTTATCAGAATTGACAAACTAGATGATGGAGAAAACGGGATTGGAAAGGGTCTAACCAGTAACCTGGGCCAAAACTCAAGCAACCTGGAGTAAGAGCTTTGTATTTTTCCAAGCATTCACTAGCACAGAACAAGCATAAGTCGCTTCTAAAGCGAAGGAGCTGAAAAGAAAAACCCCTTCGAGTAAAAGCAGACCTGGCAATAACTGGAGAGATTAAGGAGGAAAGAAGATAACAGCTTCAGGGTGGGAGCAGTGAGAGAAAAGCCTTCCTTACACCAGCTACGCAAGCGCCTCTGAGCTGCTCGCTGCTGGAAGACAAGCAAGACAAGGTGACCAGTGTTTGAGCACCTACCTGATCCTGCTGCCCAAGCCCTTCTCAAAATCCCAGCCAGGCTCCTCATGGCGATCTTCCCACTCTCGAAGCACCTCATAAAATACATCCCTGACAGACACACAAGAATGCCTGGTGAGCTGAGGCACAGCTGATCTCATTCCCAGCTGACCTAACTCATTCACATGAGCACCTTTCCTAGCGCAGAAGAACTGAGGACAGGACTACCCATAGCCCATTCCTTGGGTTCTCCAAAGTTCTCCATAGGATGATAATGCCATAATCAAGTAGCAGCACACATGCCTGATGTACTTCTGTGGGCACTAAGAGTTGATCCAATTCTCTCTTAACTAAGAACTCCATGACTAAAGTCACATGTCTATGAGAAGGCTGCTAAGGTCAGAATTTCAAGTCCACGGGCATAAAAAACACCAATTAGTATCAAACCTCTAGTTTCTATGAAAATGACATAGGTTGCCTATCACAGAGTAAATGTGGCCTCACCCCCTCACCCCCAATTCCCTTTTCTTATCACCTCTGTTTTTTAAAAGTATGAAAGGCTCGGTCACTGGAGAAGTTTGCACGATTGTCAGTTTCTGGCTGAAAGGAGACAGCCTGAACAGAGGGTGGCATCGTCAGAGAAACCTAAAATACGGCAGTAACGTTAGAAAGAGAAGCCTGCAGACTGCATGCTCAGCAAACTTCATCCCCATATTTCTGCCCAGAGTTAGACTACAGGACAGTAGAGAAGTGTGAGCTGGGCTGCTTGTATTATGAGACTGGGAAGGGTCAGGTATGGGCCAGTAGACATCTAAAATGGGGTCAGTACCTTGGCAACACTGCCCTCGTAGGCAGCTCGAAGGCGGCCTTGCAGAGCTGGTGAGAAGCATAGCAGCCGCTCATTCTCGGCCAACAGCTTCAAGGTCCCTTTGTCCAGGTAGGAAAGAACTCTACAGGGTCAAGAGCACATATGACTGAGAATGGGACACACACTGCAAATAAGAAGCTGGCTCCTCCATACCACACAGAGTATGGAGCATGGAGCAGGTAGTAAGGCAAAGCCACTGGCCAAGGATTACAGATAATGGAGGTAAAAGGGGGAGATATGAGACCTGATGGAACAGGGAGCAAGACAACAGGACAGGAACATTAGACTTTAAACCCAAAGGTCAGTCACCCAGACCACAGTGGGCAGCTTGATTCTTTCACATGCTAAGTTTATAGCCTTGACACAAAATAAAGGGTTGTGTGTAGGAAAAGGTCCATGACTCTGCACACTTGTGTTAAGCACAAGCCTGTACCACAAGTGGCCAGAGAACCAAGTGGAATGGGTATAAGGCTCAGATGCCTCAGCTGGGGAAACTCACTGAAACTGATGCTCCAAAACCTGCACTGCAAAGAAGACACAATCGTGGACAGTCTGAAATAGTGGGCTTTCCAGGGAATCTAGAAGGAAAACATCAAGCTGTCAGTTAAGAATTATTCTATTTCCAGACCCCATTTCTCAATAAGAGGTTTGCTCACTGACCTAGGGTTCCTGGACTAGGTTCAGGTTCACTGTTTTTGGTGGCCACCATCCTCCGGGCGGTAAGGAGCTGAAGAACGAAGAAAAGCTCCAAGAAGAGATTTGGCACCAGGTTTTCTGGATATAAAAAGAAACCACAGCACATTGGGCACCATTCAGAACCAAAACTCAGTTCCACATGCCTTATCCATTCTCATATCCTATAGTCTTATAAGTATTTCCCTCCACTCCAGTGCTCTTTGCTGTCACTCACCTGCAATGCATGAGGAGTAGACAAGAGCCACCAGTTCTAGGCGCTGGCGGGAAGACACTTGCGCAGGGTCAGCAGGTTCAGCTGTGAGGTTTCCTGTCCTGGTGGGAAGGGAAAACCCCGATTCTGGGATGGGACAGATGGAAGCAGGTGACTGCTGCAGCTGCTTAGAGCTATGGAGATAAGAGATGTCATGAGCTGTCAGCCTGGCTTTCCCTCCACAGCCATATTCAGGTTTCTCCAGAGAGGACATCCACAGCCCCAGGGATAGACCCAAGGTTCCTGGGGGCAATCAATCTCAAGGAAAAGCCTCGCAGATCCCCCACAGAAAGGAAGTAACATCCCAGGAAGCAGCAAGGCCTTACCGCTCCTTCCTGAGCATCTCCCGCTCTTCTTGCAGACTTCTGCACCCTGGGGGAAGGCCATGGCCCCAAGGGCTAGAGTCTAGGACTGAGGGTTGGGAACTGGGGACACAGTTGATTGGGGGTGTAGTGAAGCAGGTCTTGGGCTTGGAGAGTGACCGCTCTTCGCTAACCGGAGTTGGGTTGATCCTGCGTGAAGGCTTCGTCCTGCTGAGAGCAGCCACAGGTTTTTCCCAAATTCCCATCATCAAACATCTTGACAACAGCTGGAGCCCTTGCAACACCCCCGCCCCTAATCATTGTAGTTATTTCTTCCCAAACATTCTGGTTACTTCCACCTTCTACTGAGGAGCGCCCAGCCCTAATTTACTGACTCCCCTTGTACAGCCTTCCCACCACCCATCTCGATGAGCGCTGATTCTCACCCTGCAGGGCCGGGGGGAACCGAGCCTACTGGAGGGAACTCCTCCAGGTTGCTGAGGTTTGGCGGATGAGAGCGCGAGAGGCTGGGACTGCCGGGGCTGCCACAGGCCCTAGGCCTCCGGCCCCCTACCCAGGACAGGCTCTCTCCGCTGAACCCCTCTTCCAGGCTCCCGGGGCCGCGGCCACCTCGCTCGCGAGCCTGCCCCGGGCCCCGCCTCCTTCCCCCGCGGCGGGCCGAAGGGGTCTCGGCAGCGGCGGCGGCGGCGGCAGCGCTTGAAGTCTCGGTCGAAGGGAAGAGCTGGCTGCGCGCCCCGCGGCCTCCCCGCGGCGGGCCCCCGGGCCTCCCTGGCAGTGTTGCCGAGGAGCCCGGGACCTTGGCGGGGGTTGGGGGGCCCTGTGGGAGGACACGGCTGCTCTGCTCCCTCAGGAAGTTCAGCAGAAACGGCACGAATTCCTTCTGCAGGGGCCGGAGTGAGTTCAGCGCGGCCGCCTCCCCGGGGTCATCCTGAGGGAAAAGCGGCGAGACGGTCAGCTGCCAGCCCGGGGCCGCGGGCAGCAGAGCGGCTCCCCGTTGGAGCGCACTCGGCCCGGGCTGACAGCCAGTCACCCAAAGGTAAGGGACCTAAGGGGTGGTGTCTCCCGCGGAAAGCAGATTCGGGTCAGGTCTGGAGGCGTGTCGGCGCTGTTACCTCGGAACTCTCGGCGCCGCGCGCGATCCACCGCACGGCGGCTGCGACCGACACCTCTTCTCGCAGCAGCGACTCCAAAACGGCCGCCATACCGGTCAGGGCGCTCTGAGGCAATTGCGCAGGCGCCGGCGCGCCGCGGGCGGCCTGGGAGGGGCGGGGCTGGCGCCGAACGGCGGCCGTTGGGCCGCTGGGTGGGAGGGCGGGGCTGGGGGGTGGGGCCGGCCGCGGGACTTCCCCTGGCTGAGGCTTTGCTCTGGCCTCCAGGCAGGGCCGCGGCTGGGTCGGCAATCCCGGGCTACAGTCCTGGTCGTCTGCGAAGTGCGTCCGCACTTTTCTGGGTGAGCCCCGGGCCCGGCTGTCCTGCCGGTGGGGGCGACCTGCCGGGATTCGGGGACGTGGCGGGAGAGACAGAAGGGCCGGGAGAGCGACCAGATGGTAAAGGTGAACAATTCTCCGGTGAGAGGGCCTTTGTCGTCCTCGATAAGCACATTCTTCCCCGCCCGCCCTCCCCCAAGAGTTTAAGTTTTCTAGATTGACTGTCATCACCCTGAAAAAGTTACGATAAAGTTAGCGTAACCTCACTTGACCTTTTTCAAAGGCTGGGTTTTCAGTACCCCCTTCCCCTACGGTACCCACAGGCTTTCCAGCACTCACCATCAACTGGTTGACCACTTAAGACTTTGAGCCAGAATTGTTGCTGAGAGACTTTATAATCCTCAATCCACAGCCCTTACGGTGCCTAAGGTTTATTAGACTGCACGCAGAATCGTTAGTCTCTATCTTTACATCCCTTACATGTTGCAATAATGATGGGTTTACGCCAGGTTAATGTATCAACTACTTTGCAGTTGAGATGTTAATAGGCAGATTCCTGATTAGCTTTTGGGAGCTCGAGTTGTTTAATTTCTCTTTTTGAAGACATGAGAGCCAGTACTTTGGTTTGGATGTTGCTGCTCACTGAGAAATCAAGAAAGGAAAACCACGGGAAGAAAAACACAAAAGCACCAACACTCCAGGCCAAACCAAACTAGGGGTGGTGAAGCAGTGCCCATGTGAATGCCTCAGAGGAGATCCTCTGGTTCAAAAAAGGTTACAGGTGTTAAGGAGAGGGTGGTGGGGAGCAGGAACCATCCTGGTGCTATTAAGGGGTGTTTCCTGCGTGGAAGGAAAAAGTACCTCCAGCCAGAGATAGACTGAAAGGGTGCTTTTAACACTTCCAATTTTATTACACGGGAATCCATCTTACACCCCTGAACCCTAGTTTTCATCTGCAGAGATACTGATAGTTTGTATTCACTCAGTGCTTTTGTAGGCCTTCCAAATATGGTACTGAGTTTATAGTAACACTTTCTACTCCCTGTTGATCTTGGAACCTCTTGGTGCATTCAATAATGTTATTAAAATCAGAAAAATAGTACTTCCCACTTTTGAAATCCAAGCCATCATACAAACAGAAATAGAGTTGCATGCGGAATGAATATTTTATTACTAGATTATAAAAATAAAATACAAAATAATTTTAAAACAGAACTTAAAACACTGTACAAAGCTTTAATATGATACAAATGGTAAAATTAAATAAATAATTACACTTTTATGTACAGATGACCTATACAAAAGCACTCCATGTTTCTTCCAATACTCTATGTCCTTGGTTGCCTGAGCAAAAATGCATAAAGAGGGCTGCTTGGAGGGGAAAGGGACACAATACCTTCCGAGGCATTTCCAAGAGCAATTTCTCAACACTCTGATTTCATAAAGAGGGAAAGGGAGAAAACTTGAATTATTAAAGTCCTCTATGCTAACTTACTGGTCTTGCTCAACAAGAGAGTTTTGGTTTGTGATTCACTTTGATTTAACAGCTGCCAGTAGTTCGTAACTTCCAAGGTTTATATCTAATGCAAAACTAGGTATCTTCCCCTTCCTCTTTTTCCCCCCTCAAAGTTGTAAATGTGTAAGTAAATGGCCTAATTAAATCAGCACTGGTTATTTTAGGAAAGGAGTCAGGAAGAAGACCAGGGGCTGTGTATGAGGGAGAGATGAGGAGGCTCAAGTCAGGGTCATCAGATCTGTTCTCTTTGTTTGGTTCACCCAAACCAATTTCAGAGCCCCAAGCAGCACACTGTTATCTTTCCGTTACCTTCCTATCTGTATTTCTGATTTTTTTTTAGTCTTAATGAACTGATTTACCTATCTGGTGAATAGTATAAAAGTAAAATAGTTTTGAAAAAGTCCCAAAGACATCCTCCTCCCTGGGGTGCTCCCTAAAATAAATCACATTCAAGCTCTGGTAGCCTTGTGGGTGAATGAAGACCACCCAGACAGATTCCAGGGATGCTGAAGTGCTGCACATGGAACTTTAGGGATTTAAACTGTATGTTATAGGAGGAAAGTATCACATGGCAAGGGTAGTTTATACAAAAACATGGTTTACTCAATGTTTTTTACTAGGTGAGTGAACACTACACAATATGAAATACTAAACTGAAAAGAAATAAAATTCCTATCCATTATTAGTGTGTAAAACTGTCATCGGCAATTTTAGTCACATGGGCTCAAAGTCTGCCTCACTGTATCTTATTCCCTAGGTCCAGGAATCCAGAACCCCTAGCCCAGGTTATCTGAGACATCAGCATCACCAGGGATATACACTATTCCCATAACTGTCACTTCCAATTATAGAGGCACACCCAGTTAAAGTTTCATATGGCAATGAAGGAAACGGCTTCACTTCTTTTAAGATCAAGGATCCAGGAAAGCTAAGGAAATACTCAAATCATTACTGAGTAAATGGTAATCCTTGGCTGTTCAGTGTGTTGAGACTGTGTATAACCTAAAGGTGATCTTGGTTGTGTCGTATACTTTAATTTTCTGATCCAGATTTGCTTAAGGGGAATAATTAAAAAGTCAGAGCTGATAATTACAACTGAATTAGAAAATGTATCCATGGGTCAAGACTTTAATGTCCTCATTTCATGTCCTGCCAGGGAAATTTAGGGATTGAGGTATGCAGCATTCAAGTTCCTTTTTACAAGATTGGGGATCCTTATCCCACGTTCTGGAGTTACCTAAGAACTAAAGGAATTCCGCATACACCTACTGTAGTTCTCTCTAGCAATGTTGGCAAGATTCCTCAGGCTCTCAAGGCTATCTGGGTTAAATTTCTCATAATTCTAGAGGGACAGCCAAACTACTAAGAATATCCAATGATTCGATGTTTCCACACTGGTCCTACATCCTCCCCCCCTCCCCCAATTTTTTCAGTTTATTTGAGCCAAAATTGAGGACAATTGCTGGGGAGCAAGATCTCCATTAAATGCTCTACTCCAACATCCTTGAGGTCCAAACCAGAGTTCTGCTGGATGAGACAGGGAAGCAGGGTGACCTTACAACCACCTGAGGTTTGCAATGTATTACATCCCTCCATATAGTCTGAGAACTAGAACCATCTTAACCCCTTCTCTAAGTTACAGTTTAAGTATGCACCTATGGTTTCTGCACTTGGGTAAATATTGACATGCGAGGACTACCATAGTGGTTCCATGCCTTAATCCTATAAGACTTTTTGTATTAAAACACAGATAAGTAACTGCAAATAAATTGTCTACAATCAAACTCAAGAAAGTTAAACAATGGTCAATCATTCTATCGCCTCAGTATTACAGGTGCTAAAATCTGTCTCCTTTTAGGTAAAACTCCAACACATCTGTGGTAAATGCACAGAAGCAGAAAAGGGCAGATGTTTGGATATAAACAACCTAATTCCAAAATACACGAGAATGACAGGAGAAATGGTCCCCTAACATATGCCACATTTTGATTGATGTAAAGGTATGAAGAAAGTTTTAAAATGTGAAAACTTTGATTTCCAAGACTAAATCTAGACTTATTTACAAATAAATATATTTTCAAATAGCCAGAGTTAAATGCATTTTCCCCCCTAAATTCTGATTTCTGGATCTTGTTTCTCCTACCACCAGTTCCTTATGTTAGGATGTAGTTCCTAAAACAAAGAATCCTCTGCTCTTGGAGAAAAGGCATCTGATTTTAATTCAAAGCTATTGGGTACAGACAAACTAATTATTGTTTTAACTATCTGTGTTTGGATTTATAAAACATGCACCAATGTACACTTTTTCCTTATATGTTGAATATATCCATAGAAACATTCGCATAAAAATCTGTGGCTTGGAAGGAATCTCTGATGATTACCAAAGAACCTGAAGTTCCCATAGTGGCTAGGAGGAGCTGAACAGAAAGAGACACTGTACAACTAGTCCACTGTATTAGTAAGCAGCCGAAATTTGTTTAGTATTTTTAAAGCAAAGAAAATATAAAGTGGATAATAACAGTGGGTCTCAATTACCATTTTCCTACTTTTTTAGGACTTGGCATCTTTTACTTTACAACATGCAACTTAAAAAACAGTAAATGTAGCTATGCCACTGTCAGCAAGGCCAGCTTGCATACCAAGAATGACAGTGCCTGCTTAAGACTTACCATTTAAAGATGTTTATAAAATGTGCTTTAAAGTTAAATTTGATATGACCCAATTTTCCTTTTTTGTTCACTATATGTTAAAAGTTAAAAGCTGTGCAAAAGATTACTATGTAGAATTTTTAAAATCTTTTAACCCATCTGTATACCCTGGAGATTTGGCAGCATAATTGAGAAAGAATGCTACCCTAAAGGGACTACACTGTTGCCGATTCCATTTTCTGTTCCACCCAAGTAATTCCAGAGATTAGACAGGCAAAGGAGGGGCATGTGTGACTAGGTAACCAGCTATTTTGTTACAAAAGGAGAAATGATGAGGCCCTTGTTTTTCAAAAGATAATTTTAACTTCTACCCCCTAATACTTTCAGTATAGTTTGGCTTGACTTTAATGAACAGCCATGTCCCTCGTCTTAGGTAGAACAACCAAACTGGTGTAAAATGGGATGACCTATGTCTGTCACTGAAATCTGAAATATATCATCACTTAAAAAAAAAAAAGGGGAACGAACTAAAAACAACATAACTCGTTCTCTGTATCATATTTTAAAATAAAACAAAACCAAAAATCCTTGTGCCAAAAGTGCTTTACTTAGGGCTGTGAACTTCTCTTTTTAGCCTGAGACATATAACATCTAAAAGTACAAACTGCATTTAAAAACCATAAAATAAATCTTTATAGAGGGTGGGGGCAAAAGTAGGTTTACAGAGTTTATTCTTGTATTATTATCTTCCATATGAACAACTGGAAACCTACTTTTGTACCACCCTGTATAGGTTAGTAGTTCTTTAAGTGGACCTATTGATACATAAGATATAATTAGTCTGTGTTCTTTTGAAAGTATCAAGCAGAAAAATCTTTGGTTAACTCTTTTCTCTACATGCAAAATAAAATATTCTTATACAACAAGGCTGTTTCTGGATTTAGAGTTTGTCGGTACCATTTAAAAACGGAGCAACACAGTGGAAAAATTGGGAGAAAAATGAAAGGAATTAATAAAGAGAAAAAACATTAAGTTGCCAGGTTGCCATCACTGTTAGTTCTGACTGCTAGCAGAGAAATGCCAATAAGATATAACACACACAGCACAACTGCAGCCTCATCAGCTTTTCCAATGGTTACCATGAACACATTTATGACTCACGGGATCAGGATTTAAAGCTGGCTACTTTTAGCACAATTTAGCTAATACAACAGAAAAAAAGATAATTTCTTAATTGTTGATTACTCTCTCACCACGCCTCAAAAAGTGAGGTTAAAAGAGAAGAATGGCAATTTTAAGAGTTGTTTTTTTTTTTAAATCAATTTATGTCAGATCATGATTATCATCTCAGTTTATCCACTCTAACCATAAGGACAGCATTATATGATTAACATGACAAATCTTTTAACCAGTATTACAAGCACATCCCAGTCATTTTTCCCCTATTAAAATCTTTTAAAAATGAAAATTAAATAACCTATCCTGGCTTGTTAAAGACTGCCAACCCTCGCATTATACCCAAGGAAGGCAAGAGGAATCTTAAGTGTCACATGCCAAGAGCGTATTTTCAGAAAATGAAGATGGGCAAGGCCTAAGTGTACGCGAGGCACACAATAAAATCTCACCATATGTGACCTTGAAATTACAAATGGAGAATGAGAAAGAATAAGTTTATATAAGCATATGTTTCTCTATATATTTATAAATATTTATATAATTTACCATGAAGACATGCAAGTAGTGTTACAGCAACTATTATACAATATAATACAGAAGGATTGGTCTTCCAATATTACAGTTGCTTTAGCTAAACAGCAAATACATCTTATCTGTTGCATTCCTCTGTAGTGCTTGAAACCAGAGAGAAATTGATTCCACACTTTGCTACATTTCTTATGGGAGACCAAATATGCCTCAATAGTGTTTTGAGTTTTGTTTGTTTTTGTTTTTGTTTTTTTAAGAAAAAGCTTAACACAGATAAAGAGAACAAGGTAAGTTCAGTGCAGCTTCAGGGCAACTTTGATGCAGCATTAGAGTATGTTCACTTGGTGAGAAAATATATATTTTTTCCAATTCATATTAGGTTTGGCAGCAAACACAAGGTCAAAGAGAAAGCACAGATGTTTGCTAGAAGGCAAATTTCAACAGCAAGCAGACCAATTTACCTGACCTTAATAAGGTCTTTACAACACAAAAAACACCAGAGTATAAAAAGAGCCCATTTTCAGAGTCTACTATGATTTAATTTTACCTGATTCCTGTTAGCAGAGGAGTGAGATTAGAACCAATATAATCCTCTTTATAGATTTATAAATTGAGATTACATGGAAATCAGGTCAAGAAACCCGAATGTTCAAACTAAAGCACAGGAAAAGCAGGTAATAAAACTTTAAAAGATAAATACTGAACCTAAATTTATTTCCCCAGATACTCATTCCTTATTGGCTAAATGTATACAATACAAAGTTTGAGGATTATAAATCTCAACAACATATCTAATTTCTTTTTAAATCTCTAAAAGCATAGAGTCATATTCCACAGCATTGTACTTCCTTCGTATACCCTTGGAGGTTGATATTAGAAATGGAACTTAAAAGAATTGAGGAAGCAAGATCTACTCTGATTAGTTTTCCTTCCACAAAAAGGAAACTAACGGGATGGGGGGGCGCAGGGTGGAGAGCGCTCTTTTATCTTGAAGGGTATTAACCCCCGACGCTGCCCCTCTCTACCTAAAGTACTAAAGCCAGCAAGCTAGCTCTATTTAGACTTTTCCTTCCATTACCTAAGTTTTAACAGTTATTTGTCACAATAAAAATATACTGAGAATATAGTGCTCCAAAGAAATATATTAGGGGACTAAAAAATAGTTATTGTATTTGAAATTCTCAATACGTACCGCTAAAAGCATATTAGAATGTACTGTTAAAATAAAAGAAGAAAGGCTGGATCAGGTGAGAAACACTTACTGAAAACTGTGAAATCCGGGGAGGGTACTAGGAATGAGGCAACATGAAGGTGTGAACTCTCAATATAGATAAACATACACGCCGAATACATGTTTATTGCATTGGCTCCGCAGCAACAGACTTCTTAAATACTTAAATACTGGAGCAATTCTGACTCTCCAAGGTTGGGAAGGTTTTGAATGAAAGTATCAAAACAGGAAGTTTCACCTTTACTATACGTTTGAGTAGAGTGTTAAGAGTAAGTAGGCCGAACCCTTTCAATTCCATTCCACCTCCCACCTTTGGCTCTTTTGTTTCAGAGCTAAGTAACGAGAGTTCATTTAAGCAGTTTCTCCCTTTTGGATTTGCTAGATTGCTTCTTCCTATGCAAAGGCATTGTATCCTGATCTGCTTGCTGCCTGCCTTAGGCTAATTCCTTATCATATAATTGTCTCCTTATAAATAATTTATCATGTTACTTTCTTTTGCAAGATAAAATCAACACAGATTTTTTTAAATAGACAGTACAAGGACAAACATGCATCAGATTTAGGAGGAAGATCTTCACACCTTTCAGAGAGATGCAGCCTCGCTCCTATCTGCTGAGTTTACTGGCTGACTTACTCTTCCCTGGGGGAGATTTAGTGCTGGCCGAGTGGTGGTGGAGGCTGCTGGATCCCTTCAGGCCATTCTTGCTGGGTTTGCAATGCTCCTGTTGGCAGGACCTCCTGGAGGAAGAAGATCCTGAGTGGCTGGGAGGTGACTTGCTTCTCCCCAGATGCGGGGATGAACTCCTCTGGTCATGGTGGGGCCGTCCAGCCCTAGATGGTGAGGAACTAGACGTTCGAGGCAAAGAAGAGCTTCGAGGAGAGGCACTGGGACTCCTGCGAGGGACAACTGGGCTCTTGGGTGGTGTTTTTGGATTGTGAGAGGATCCTGGACTCTTGCACTGAGTAGTGCTCCGGGGTTTCTGAGATCCATTTTGAAGAATTTGGGCCAGGCGGGAGAAAAGGTCTGAGTCGGAATTGCTACTCCCTAGGACTTTGTATCTGCGGAGTCTTAAAAGTACAAAGAAGAACTTTTTTCATTTTAATTCACTTCAAGTGTGCCAAGAATACCACAGAGTCAAATCAGGAAACAGAGTTACTCTTTTACATACCAGTTATATGACCCTGGACAAATTATTTATCTTTCCTAGCTTTTAATGGGGATATTATCAAAGTGCAATAACCCAAGTAAAGTACTTAGTTGGATGTCTGCCATTCAGAAGCACTTAAATGTTGTTAGTCCCCTTTCTCCTATGGAATGTTTGCTCTTCTGATTTTAGGATTAAATAAAATGTCTCTAGCATGTCAGCACATTTTAAGTCTCCTATGGAAGGAATGCTGCATACATATATGCAAACATTGAACCCACAATGTAAGTCTTTGACATGAACTATACTCACCAACAGCAGGAACTACAGATAAAAGTATATTTCAGCTTCATTTAATGATTAAAAAAAAAAAAAAAAAGAGTAGTCACTGGTTTCTCTGGGCCTCCGTTTCAGCCCCTGACAACAGCCTAAGATTCAGGAGAACAAGAACTGAGTTTGGGAGCTGACTGCCCCTCTCTACTGGCAACTCAGAATTTTAAGTCTAAAAGAGAATATTCATATGAATAGCAATGTCTTCTTTGCCTTTAATGTTTTTCTGTTTTAGCCCCAAATCCATTCAGTTTAAGAATTTAAACCTCAAGCTGCTGACATGCCACTCCTTATAGAAGGAAATAGGAGACAACTTGCAGCGTGGTTATCAGTACCTGCAGGATGCAGGGACATAAATAGCTATCATCATCTTGGGTCCGCAACAAATTACTGATCGTTCTCTGAATTTTCTCTCCTCCTCTGTCCCCACCACATACTTATTCAGAAAAATGACATAAAACTCATTCAGGTTAAGCCTACTCTTGTCGATCTTACAGTAAAAAATTGAAAAATGGAATAAAATAATTCCTCTGCTCCAGGACCTAAGTGGGAAAGTTGAGTTCCCTGAGTTTCCAGATGAGTTCCAAGCTGGTCAGCTCTAATATCTGGCAAAATGCCACAGGCTTGGCTTAGTTACCAAGTGTTAATTTTAGGGGACACAAAGTGCTAAATAATACATGATAATTAAGATTTGTTTGTTGCAGCCCAAAGTAGCTCAAGCCACAGACATGCCATCTTTATTAAGCATAGATGCCAAACAGAAGAAAAAGGGGGATGTGTGAATATCGTTCATGGAATCACATTTTTAAAATTTCAGTTAAATGACTGCTGTTCACTCATTACCATTCTTCCTGTGGAAGTCTAGTCTCACTGGCACTTCGAATCCAATGTTTAGTTACCCTTGAACCTGAAACCCTAGGGCAAGTCAAAACTAAACTTTCTTTACGTAGGGGTAAGCAACTTCTGCTGGACAATGATACAGATAGAATCTCACTTTAATATTTCTGAAATCCTTATAAGAGGTGGAGGCCTATTGTCATATTATCTAGAACAGGCTATAATTTTCATGTAAATGTATTTTGATTTTCACTTTATTTTTGTTAAAAGACAGTCCTTTCCCTCTTTCCCAAGGGTTTAGACATTTCACTCTGTGCAAGTGAGTAATGGTGCCAAGGAAAGCACACTTAACTGGTTCATCACCTCCTAATAATTTCTCCTCTTCTTCAAAATATAGTCATTCGATGGTCAACTATACATGAGAAATTCAATAAACAAGTATACATTCAGTAAATATTAAAATAATAACTTTATTATGTATAGTTGCAATCTATCATCAGAGCTAGGGAAATCTATACGATTTTTAGGGGAGGAGGGTTTGTTTAATTCATTATAATCAGATAAACAGTAGTGCTACCAGGGTCCAGTCATCAAATGATGGATGCAGTATTCTTCACTAGAATTTGACATCATAATGACATCTCTTATCACAGGGTTCTGACTAGCCAAAGATAGGAAATGACTGAGTATCTAGTTAGAATGGACTGTAACAAAAGTAACTTTTGCTGCAGGCTGATCAGTATTACATGAAGCTTTAGACATACTCTCTCTTATTTCATCCTCCCAAAACCAGGAGGCCAGTGTTCAACCCATTTTATAGATAGGGGAATTGAGGTTCACAGTGCAAGAAAGTAGGAGAGCTAAGAATTAACCTGGATCAGTCTGACCCCTTCTACTACACTGTGCTATAAAGCATGGGGAAGGCAGGGAAGAAGTAGACAATCAGAAGCAGGCAACAAAGAAATGAAACCACTGACATATCATGGTCAAACAGACACAGAAACAGTGCTAAACACTTTACACAAGGAGAGCATACAGTATTACCTGGCTTCTACTCCGGGCCTCATTGGTGGCTTTCCTGGTGGTGGCCGAGGCAAGAACTGAGATGAAGCTGAGCTATTGACTTGATCTGTGTTGACCCATGACACTGGCCTTGGAATTTTGCTCTTTCTGGACTGGGAGATGATGGGTGACAAAAAGCTATCTTCAGCTGATCTGCTCAGGGGGGAGTCTATAGCCAATCTTGAAAAGGGAGTGAAAACTTCCTCTTCAGAAAATGGAGCAGGAACTGTGGCTAGTCTCTCCTCCAACAATTTATCAGAGGCACTTGTGAGGTCCCCAAGGAAAGACTTGAGTTGTCTTTTTTCCACCAGAAGCTTGACTAGGTCTGGCTGATAAGCTTTCTTTTGGAGGAGCTTTTCTTTTGCAGAGACTGAAGAGGATGATTCAAAAGCTGAGTCTATCTCCTGTGCTAAAACAGGGATTCGGCTATGTCTCGTTACGAAGGATGACCTAACCACATCTTTCCGGGATGGAGGACAATGTTCACTCTCTGCAACACAATGAAATAGTTCTCTATTTCTAGGGGCAATTTTTTCTTTCTTATCCTCTAGGTGCAAAAAAGTAGAGAGGTCTTGATGACCCAGCAAGTCTTCACTCTTGATGTCATCATCTTTAGATATCTTACTTTTTTGCACTGTTGCCACCTGGACAATCTGCCCTTCAACATGTGGGTCAATGACTTGTGGAGAAATTTCTGAAGTTCCAACTGCCAGAAGCTTCATTATCTCATGATTTTTGTCTTGATTTGGCACCACGCTAAAAGTCTGTGTCTTTGTCATATCAAGAGGTTCAGTAGTAGCTGACTGATCCCTTTCCACAGTTACCAAGTCTCCTGGGAGAGAGGAGATCTCCATATAATGCTGCCCTTTCCTTAACTTCTCATCTTCATTATCTGACCCTAGAAGAATGCTTTTCTCTTCAATTTCCCTAGGGAGACTCTCAAATTCTCTCACAGCCGATCTATTATGGTCAGGAAGGTCTTTTGGTACCAGGTCTTGGGCTTTGTCATACTCTCTAATATTGGGTAACATGTCATGACCAATATGATCTATCTGAAGACCCAAGTCTGTCCGGCTTCCTCCACTAGGAGGTTCTCCCTCTGTCACAACTAAGCCAGAGAAGTTCTCCCTCGGAGAATAAAGTTCCACAGTGGGCTCCATGGGCTGAAGGTCTTTCTTCTCTGGTTGCTGACCATAGTGAAAGCTTCCTGACGTTGACTGTGTAGATGCTACAGAAGGTCGAGGAATTGTAATCTGAAGAGAGGGAAGAAAAAAAAGTTAAAATGCAATAATGTGGAATATAAACGAAAATGTGGGATTTGTGCTTAAACACTTCAAATTCTAATTTATAAGGGAAACAGATGTCAGCCAGGTCTGCCTAATCATACTTAAAGTGAGCAATTCTAAATAAAAATGTATGACACTCAAGTTCCCCTACTCAGGGACAGTTCAGCACAGACTCACTCGAGGTTCGTCCTTGCCCAATTCTACTCCAATGACACCAAAAATTGATGGGTTTCCGGAGTTAGATGTCGTTTAGGTTTGCTTCTCCGTTTGTCAGGAATACAATTAGGTTTAATAACATGAGGTATTTGTCCTTAGGATCTGCCAGGTTAGTTCAATTCTGGGAGACTGACTTCTACAGACTGCGCTACCCAGGCTCCCTTGCCTTCTGATTTCTGGGTTTGCAGAAATCAATGGCCAGCACCCACAGAGAATAACAGTTTGAGGAGAAACAGGTCTGGGTATGAATTCTTTCTGTTTCCTCCCCATGGGGCTGCCAGTTTAGTGGTGGCTACATTCTACTACTCCTGGCCATAGCTGCTGTCGCATGGCCTCGCTCCCACAGACGTGACTCTGACCAGGTTCTACTAACAGCCCTTCTTCCTCCTCTTTCAGGACTCAGAACAGGAATGGCTCCCTCTATCCTATTGGCTTTCAACTCCACCCACACATCTGTAAAAAGTTCCTTTCATTAAATTCTAAGTCTCTTTGAGAGTCAGCTATGTCCTGCCAGCATATAGGATTATAGGGGGGGAAAATTGGCAAATTACTGTAACTTGAAAAATTCTAGGGATTTTCAGGATGGCGGAGGAGTAAGTGGAAGTCACACTGACCTCCTCCCAGGACCAACCTCGAATTAGAACTAAATTGTGGAGAAATCACCTGGAACAAACAACTGAACAATACCAAGAGAGGAGCCTTGTAACCTCGGAGACAGACGAATCGGCTTTAGTGCAATGTAACTGGTAAGGAGTGTGGTAGACACTCGAGAAAGCAGGCGGGGCGCCCACGGGTGGCAGCATCAGAAGATATTGAAACGGCCAATTGGATCACCTTGAGAAGAGCGGGGTGTAAACCAAAAGTGGGGATCTCTAGCCCACAACACCAGAGCCCAAAAAGTACACAGAAAACAGCCAGCTGCGAAAAGCGGCAGGATTGCTCTCTGCCAGAGACGGGTGGCTGGATACGCAAAGAACTGTTTAAAGAACCAATGCATAAATTTTTATGTGCAGCCACTTACCATGGTCTCCGGCAAAGGCGGGAGCAGGGTGGGCTAGAGACCCTGAGGAGAGACTGGGGAAGGAGGCTTTGGGGAGAGAACTGAGCGAGTAGCCGCAGGGATCCTGGTGCTGAGTGATCCCCCATGCGGCAGCAACCATCTTGCTCAGGCAGAGACCACTCCCCCTGAATGTCACCGGGGTCAAAGGACCCAATAGCCCTGCCCCCAGGCGGGATCCCACCCCGCCCTGTGCTGTCTAAGCTGCCTGCTGAGTGCAGAGTGGCAGCTACAGAGAGTAGATGCCTAGCTAAAGGGGGCACAGAGAGGTCTGGAGCCACTTGAGGAGAGACTGGGGATGGAGGCTTTGGGGAGAGAATGGAGAGAGTAGCCAGCGGGATCCCAGTGCGGACTCCTCCCCCATAGGGCAGCAGCGGAGGAGGGCCCAATAACCCCGCCCGCAGGAGGGACTACGCCCTGCCCTGAGCTGTCTAAGGTGACCAGCTGAGTGCAGAGTGACTAGATTAACAGCTGAAGGCGACAGCCACAGACAGTAGATTCCTGGAAGTCTCGAACAGACTGCCTAAGGTCAGACAGGGTCAACATCTGACATCATCATAGCCAGATCCAGAAAGTAAAAACAGCGGTCCCCAACCATCGAAGTTCATAACCACAGTCAGGAAATCAAGACAGATCAATATAAGAATCAGAAGCAAAAGAGAAGAGTCTCACAAATAATGGAAAGACAAAGAAATACGCCCCACTTGAAGGGAAAGGAGGAATCCCCAGAAAAAGAACTAAATGAAATAGAGGCAAGTAAACTATCAGATACTGAGTTCCAAACAACAGTTCTAAGGAAGCTCCATGAGCTCAGTGAGCTCAGAGAGAATTACAAAACACTACAGGGAAACTACGAGGGACTTACTGCAAACTGTATCAGCACGAAAAAGAACATAGAAACTATCAATAAAGGACAAGAGGAAATGAAGAATACAATTTCTGAATTGAAGAACACATTAAAAGGAATCAAAAGCAGGCTAGATGAAGCCGAGGATCGAATCAGTGAGCTGGAGGACAAGATAGAAAAAAGCTCCCAGAAAGAGCACAAAAATTAAAAAAGACTCAAAAAGAATGAAGAGGCATTGAGGGAAATGCAGGACAACCTGAAATGTAATAATACCCATATAATAGGGATACCAGAAGGAGAAGAGGATGAGGAAGGGATAGAGAACCTGTTTGAAAAAGTAATGATTGAAAACCTCCCTCATTTGAGGAAAGAAAAAGTCACACAAGACCAGGAAGCCCAGAAAGTCCCATTCAAGAGGAACCCAGTGAGGCCCACTCCAAGACACATCATTAAAATGGCAAATATCAACGACAAACTGAGAATCGTAAAGCAAGCAAGGGAGAAAGAGGTAGTAACATATAAGGGAACCCCAATACAGCTAGCAGCTGACTTCTCAACAGAAACAATGCAAGCCAGGAGGGAATGGCAAGAAATATTCCAAGTCATGAAAACCAAAGGTCTGCAACCAAGACTGCTCCACCCAGCAAGGTTCTCAATTAAAATGGAAGGCGAAATGAGGAGTTTCCCAGACAAAAGAAGGCTAAAAGAATACACCTCCAGCACACCAGCAAAATGTGCTAAAGGGACTGCTTTAAAATGAAGAAAAAGTTTCTATGAATGCCTCGTTCCTTTCAGAGTTGCCAATACTTGATATTACCAATATTTTTAATACTCATTAATATGATGGTGACAATGATGTGTTATTTAATTGTTCCTTTACTATTTGTTGACACTAAACCTGTTTTTGTATATTTATTGCCTATTTATATTATTTTTTAAAAAGTTTTAAATGACTTTTTGGTATTCTTTATCCATTTATTGTTTAAAGATTTGTAGAACTTTTTTCCCTAAAAACAAAGAAACCTATTAACCATGTTTTATATGTGTTGCAAATACTTTCCTATTCTGTTCCTTGTCCTTTAACTTTTTTAATATGTATATTACTATATAGTCTTAAATGTTTAATATAGTCATATCGTCAATATTTACTTGGCAGCTGCTGGGTTTGAATATTTTACTTCAGGTCATGAAAAATATTAGTTCTATTTTATTCTAAAACTCTCTAGATTCTACATATTGATTTTTAACTCACCTGAATATTTCTTGTATAATAGGGCTCTATATTTGTTTTATTTCAAGTAACAGTGGTCCATGCACCATATTTGCTGAAGAAGCCTTATTTTCCCCACTGATTTGAAATATCAACTTAATCATATATTATATTGTTAGACAGAGATATACGTTTGTCTCTAGAATGCTCATTATATTTCATTGATCTAATTGATTATTTCTGTGCTGGGGCCATGTTGGTTTAATTGCTGAGACTTTATAATGGTTTTAAATATTTTTAATATTTTATAATTAACTTTGACATTTAAAAAATAAATAAAATCAATCTGCATTTAAGAAAGAAAGAGAGGAAGAAAGGAAGAGAGAGATGGAACTCCTACCTTTTGCGACATGGATGGAACTGGAGAATATTGAAGTAAGTGAAATAAGCCAGTTGATGAAAGACAAATACCGTATGCTCTCACCTATAAGTGGACCCTATTCAACAAAATAAACTAATGAACGAAATAAACCTCAGGCATGGAAACAAGGAGCAGAGTGAATGTGACTAGAGGGGATGGGGAAAGAGGATAATGGTGGAAAGAAGGGGACGGGACTAGACGAAGAACATGTATGAATGACCCATGGACATGGTCAACAGTGTGGGAATTGACTGTGGGAGTGGGGGGTGGGGGTGGGATGGGTGGAGGGGGGTAAAGGGGGAAAAATTGAGACAACTGTAATAGAATAAACATGATTTATAAATTAAAATAATAAAAATTTTAAAAATGTAAAAAAGCTTAAAAAAGAAAAAAGAAAAAGAAAAACTCCAAATTTATATGCATTTTCTTGTCTCCCATAAATTCTAGCATTCAAGCAACATCAGCAATATTATATCTTCCTAATATATCTTCCATTTGTTAAAGGTGACATGTAAGGAGGCATAAAATGTCAGGCACAAAAACTGGTATAAAAAAAGCCTTTTTGACAAATCAGGTTTAAGTCGAATCACATAATGAAGCTCATTAAGTTGTAAGAAAACTATGATAATTGGTCTTGAATTCAAAACAAAATGAGATTTTGCTTAGATCCCATTTCTACTCCAATGACACCAAAAACTGTTGTGGTTCCAGAGTCATATATTCTTTAGGTTTGCTTATTGTTTGTCAGGAATACAATTAGGTTTAATAATGTGAAGAGTTTGTCCTAAGGATCTGTCAAATTAGTCCAAGACAGGCTGTTTCTTAAAATAAGCTCAGAACTATAATCATCTTGGAGGAAAGGTAAGTTCTATTGGTGCTATCACCCTTCAAGAAGTCACCTCATACGTGTATCTGTCTTTCATTATTCTAAAATATATTCAGGGTCCTGGCTAGTGTGGCTCAGTGGATTGAGTGCAGCTTGTGAACCAAAAGGTCACCAGTTCAATTCCCAGTCAGGGCACAGGCCTGGGTTGCAGGCCAGGTCCCCAGTTCGAGGCATGTGAGAGGCAACTGATGGATGTTTCTCTCACATATCGATGTTTCTCTCCCTCTCTTTCTCCCTCCCTTCCCCCTCTCTTCCCCTCTCTCTAAAAATAAATAAATAATTTTAAAAACATATTCAGGCAGAAGGCAATTTTCTAGTATGTTTTTAAAA